TTGGTCTGACGTAGTATGGCCGTTCCTATGTCCTGTCAAGGGGATAGTTCACTATCAGTGATTCTCCTTTCAGTAAGGGAGAGTTGCTGCTAAATACAATGGGTCAAATTTTGCCCTGTGGCACTAGTGTGGCTTGCCAGTCTCCACTGGGGTGTATGTGTGTAACTGAGGACAGAATTTGCCTCTCCTGTATTTAGTAAAAGGAGGGTGTTAAAATTATATAACGAACACAAACTGAATATGGGGAGCCCCTCACTTTCACTATCAAACCTTCAAAAATAACTCAGGCTAACCCAGCCTGCTGGTAACTATTATTTATTGTACTTTGGCTCCCTCTGGTGGAGATAACTAGCACTGAAGATGGCAGCAGAGATTAAAACTGGACCTGTGTTTCGTAAATCTTATCACACCCTCAACATTTTTATCTTTTCTCTTCTCACCCTTTCAGGACTTACATTTTATTTATTTATTCTGGGAATACCTCTTTCACTGAGACTGTACGTATGTGTTAAGCTTGGTAAACCCTAACTTTTATGAACATGGACTACACATTTCAGAATATTAGCTTGTTGATCTACCACCTCTTGTGTAGGGTGAATCTCTGTTTTAGAGTTCAGAGAGGCTGGTTATCATGATTTAATTGTCTTGGGTGAAATTTTCAAAAATACCCATGTAATTTAGGAGCACAAATCCCACTGACTTTTATTGGTCACTTAGGTGCTTTTTGAAAATCCCACCCTAAATTTGGACCTTAGCTCCAAAAGAAATGAGAAAAATGAAGTTAAGTTGAGCAACTGTATTTTTACTATCTGGGTGGAAGTTCAGCAGCAGATGCCTTGGAGTTTGTTCAGTGTCATTTTTCTTGTGGTCTTCTATCTATTGTACTCTATGGCTTGGACATGTCATTCTGATCCCACTTATATCAGTTTTACACTGATCAAGTGCTGATCAGCCTTTGGACTAATAAAGGTACTTTCAGTTAAAGTGTCGACTCCTGAACCTTATTGGGGTAGACTCGACACCCCAGGGATACACTGGAAAATCCCAACAGTCGGACCTGGGATGTCAGGCAAGATGGACTTTGGGCTGACCCAGTATGGCTGTCTTATGTGTATGCTCTTATCTGGACTTGCTGCACACTGATCTGCAGTTAACAAGTCTTGTACCAACTTTGTCACAAACCACCACACTACATGCGTGGTGACACGGCGCAGTTAGACAAAGGAACAAAAAAATAAAGCGTTATCTTGTTTCAAGCTCTACAAAAGCAGCTGTGTGGGTGGTGTGACCGGAGAGCCCATAGCTCTGATCTGGCAAGACACATGTAGCTACTGCACAAGGAAGTAGTTAGAGCAACCAGGAGTATCATCCAATAACTGGATTAGCCTTTGCCCTTTACTATGTCCCCCAGATTATTTATTAACCATTCAGCTACACCCAGGTTTCCCCCCCAGACACAGCAAATAAACTAGGGTATCAAGGGCAGCACTGGAGACCATCTGGGCCCAATGAAGTTCCCCTGGGATGACATCAGGTTTCCCTTTGGCAGGGATGAGATCCAGAAAAGAGCTCCCAGGGCATGACTGGGACCCTATGGTGGGGGTCAGGAGACTGGTCATGGGTCTCTTTGGTGGTATCAAGTGACCCTGGTGTGAGGCAAGGGATGCCTAACTCCCTGTCTGGCTAGCTGTGTGTTGGCTGCCTTGCGCTCTGTGCCCATTTGCAGACAGAGCCAGGTGCCAGGCAAAAGATTGCAAAATGTTCAAGAGAGAAAAGCTACATGAAAAAAACAATCAGCAGGGGCTTTCTTGCTTATGATTGACAGCAATGGAAGGGACTGGTATAGCTTGGGGAGGAAGGGAGATCCTTCACCTAGAAGCCAAGCTGCCAGTGTGCATGTCTTCTGAAAGGAGGGTCCCAGCCAGCTTGGCTGTACAGTGCTGTGAGAAAGGTTTTTGGGTGAGAACTATCATATCAGCCAAGAAGGTAACTTGTTAAGCAAGTCTAGGCTCTAGGATGGGTGTTATGATTTTATATTGGATGTAACCATCCATTTGTTGCCAGCACATCTATGTGCTATTATGTGAATCTCTGGGCTTTGTTAAATAACCGTATCCTTGATTTCACTATAAATAAATGCAAGTGCTGTGAGTTAAATGGAGTTGGGAGCTGAGCTGGAACTGGTAAACCGGGGGCTCACTGCTTCTTTGGAAGCTGCTGACTGGTGAAGGCGGCAAGTGTCCAGTGGCTCCAGGGTGGGACGTTCCCAAGAAGGCTTGGGGGTTGGGGTATGCCTATCACTAACCTGCAGAGTGACAGCTAGGTCTGTGAGGCCAAGATGTCAGGGCTTGTGTTAGCTGTGGCCAGCGGGGTTGGCAGGCACAGACAAGGCTCATGCTAAGGACAAGTGGTAGCAAGGTTCCTGCCACCCTAGCTACCCCAGGAAATGTCACAGGGATGCCACCTGCTTCCTGTCCCTGTGTGTCTGCACCTCCTCACTGAGTGCTTCAATGTGGTCCTCCTTCCATTCCACCTCCTCCTCGTTGGACAATCCTGTGTGGTCCCTCCTCCGCTCGCTGGGCGATCCTGCTCAGTCCCTGTCCCCTCCCCTGGTGATCCCACATGGTCCATGTCCCCTCCCCATTCACCAGGCGATCCCATGCAGTTCCTGTCCCCTCCCCCCTCTCCAGGCACTCTTGTGTGGTCCCCATCCCCTCTGCCCATCTCTGTCTCTCTCTCCATGCAGATCACTCATCCATCGCTTTATGCCCCCAGCATAAGAATTCTTTGCCCAGCATCACAGATGGAGGAGGGACAAGGTTGTTTCCAAGCTCCAGGGCCTCAATAGCCCAGATAAGAGCTACTTCTGGCTTTAGTGCTCTTGCATTACTGGAGCTGGGTGGGTGATGGGAAAGTTCCCCTGTCTGCCAGGCTGGCTCACAGCTGGGGCTGTTTTCCCTGCGGTATTTTTGAATGCTAGTAAATATGGGGGTTTGGGTTGGGCCCTGGGGAAGGTTTGGGCCAGTTCCTTGGGGTAGAAGCCAACATTCATTGTGTGTTACAGTAGCATGTACAGGTGCCCCAGACAATGTGCGAGGAGAGAGAGAGCTTGAGGACAAGATGTGATGGCTGCACATCAGATCCCTGAAGCTGGTGAGTGGGATCCATTGTCATCCCTATCTGAGTTTGCCCCCAGGTATATAAACTCACAGGGGAGTGAAGGGGGGGCAATATATAATGAGTCAGGTTCACAGACACGTGCCGGCTGCTCCAATGACACAAAGCAGCCATAACTCCACTCAGCGCGCCAGCTAAACCTGATGTCCCGCAGGAGAACTTTATTGAGCCCAGATGGCCTCTGGTGCTGCCCCTGACGTACTAGTTTATTTGCTGTTTCTGGGTATAACAGTGCTGCCTTTGGCGGGACACTACTGAGAGTATCAATTCAGGACAAATTGCTTAGAGCAGGGTAGTCACAACCCAAGGCTGCGGTTCCTCCTCTTCTAAGGCACACCAAATCAGCCAAACGGAGAGGACTTCGGTTTTACCCCACTGGCTAACCAAAAGTCATACAAACAACTCCTTTAGATACTCCAGTTCCCTTGTATAACCACCAGCAACCACTCCTTATGGGGCCGAATGGTTATGAAAACCAATACCCCAGTAAAAGAAAAATGGTTCTCCTGATCCCAAAGGACCAAGCCCCAGACCCAGGTCAATATACAAGTCAGATCTTATCCACAAATCATTCTGTTGCCAGTCCTTTAGAGTCTAAAATCTAAAGGTTTATTTATACAAAGAAAGAAATAAAGATGAGAGCTAGAATTGGTTAAATGGAATCAATTACATACAGTAATGGCACAAAGAAAAGGAGTACTTGTGGCACCTTAGAGACTAACCAATTTATTTGAGCATGAGCTTTCGTGAGCTACAGCTCACTTCATCAGATGTTTACCGTGGAAACTGCAGCAGACTTTACATACACACAGAGAATATGAAACAATACCTCCTCCCACCCCACTGTCCTGCTGGTAATAGCTTATCTAAAGTGATCAACAGGTGGGCCATTTTGATCACTTTAGATAAGCTATTACCAGCAGGACAGTGGGGTGGGAGGAGGTATTGTTTCATATTCTCTGTGTGTATGTAAAGTCTGCTGCAGTTTCCACGGTAAACATCTGATGAAGTGAGCTGTAGCTCACGAAAGCTCATGCTCAAATAAATTGGTTAGTCTCTAAGGTGCCACAAGTACTCCTTTTCTTTTTGCGAATACAGACTAACACAGCTGTTCCTCTGAAACCAGTAATGGCACAGTTCTTGATTCAGGTTTGTAGCAGTAATGGAATAAACTGCAGGTTCAAATCAAATCTCTGGAGTACATCCACAGCTTGGATGGATCATTCAGTCCTTTGTTCAGAGCTTCAGTTTGTAGCAAAGTTTCTCCAGCGGTAAGAAGCAGGATTGAAGACAAAATGGAGGGGTTTCCAGAGCCTTTTATATCCTCTACCACGTGGAAGGAAACCCCTTTGTCCTTACTGTGGAAAATCACAGCAGCAAGATGGAATTTGGAGTCACATGGTCAAGTCACATGTCCATGCATGACTCAGTTTGCAGGCTGCAGCCATTGCTCACATGCTACCTTGAACAGCCCAGGAAGGCTCCTCAGATGTGGACTGGAGTCTCCCGAGGTCCGTTGTCAGTTAAGTGTTTCCTGATGGGGCACCTAGTCAGAATAGTCCTTTCTCAAGAAACTGACCAAATGCTTCACTGATGCTACTTAGAATCAAACACATTGAGATACAAGTACATAGCCAATATTCATAACTTCAGATACAAAAATGATACACACATACAGTCAGAATAATCATAACCAGCAAATTACAACCTTTCTATAGACACCTTCTTGACCTCCTTTATACAAGATTTGGACCTTGGTTGCAACAATGATCTATATGGTCACAGTTCATGTCAACATCACATGGGGGAAAAACCTGGATGCAGCTGAATGATTAATAAATAATCTGGGGCAGGCAGTTACAGGAAAAGGCTAGTCTAGTTATTGGGTGGTGTTCTGTTTGCTCTAACCACTTCCTTGCGCAGCAGCTAGAAGCGTCTAATCAGATCAGCGCGACAGGTTCTCCGGTCAGAGCCCCCACTCAGTTGCAGGTTGAAACAAGGTAACACTTTATGCTTGTATGTGTGTCTGTGTGGGGTCTCTTCTGTCCTTGCACAGTCCCTGTCTGCATTGATTTGAAGCCAGATGCACTAATGTGATCACCGAGTAAATGTCCTACTGCAGCCAATGAGCTTTATGTCGCCCAGTTTCTTCCGTGACTGTGGAGCTATTGCTCTAGGAGCAGCGTTCAAAAAATCTTCTGCTCATAGCAAGTAGGAATTGCAGCTGAGGAAGTGGGGAGGAAGGAGCGGATGGCTGACAGAGCAGGCAGAGGGGGGAATGCCAGGGGGACTGGGAGTCCTGGGGTCAGGAGGAGCAGGAAACGGGCGAAAGTAAAAGCGGAGGAGAAGCAGCAGCTATGGAGGAAGATGAAGCTGCGAATGTTTTGCTGAAGGGGAGGGCAGGACAGAGAGTGAGGAGTTTGTTTGCACACAGCTAGGGTTACCAAAAAGAGGACACTGCGGGGCAGTGGGAGAGTTGGAGGGGGGAAGGGGGAGAGAGGGGGTGAAGAGGGGTGTTGGAGGGGGATATAGCTGGGGATGCTGGAGGAGGTATTTGTGGGGTGCTGGAGGGGTTGCATGTACTAGGAGGGGTACCTGGGAGGTGCAGGAGGGTTGTGTATTCTTTGGGAGGTGCTGGAGAGGATATCTGGGGGCTGCTGCAGAGAGGGTACAGTTGGAGGAGTTGAAGGAGCTGGGGGTACCTGCGGGGGTGTGTGTGTTCACTGGAGGGGGGGCAGTGTCATTAGGGTGACCACAGTCCAGATAGCAAATGTGAAAAATCGGGACGGGGGTAGGGGGTAATAGGAGCCTATATAAGAAAAAGACCCAAAAATCGGGACTGTCCCTATAAAATCAGGATATCTGGTCACCCTAAGTGTTACTCCCTGTCATGATGGCAGGGGGGCTGGCGCAAGCTCAGGACGTAGCAACAGCTGGAAGTCAGCGCCTCCCTGCAGGACTCCCTTCCCCCGTCTGGGAGCCAGGGCCTGGGTGGGTGGGATCCAGTAGGATACAGGGGAATGAAGGTAGGGACCAATCGGGAAGTGGACCAATTGGGGCTCTTTCTGAGCTGCAACCTCTGCTCTGCGAAAATCTCAGACGTTGCTTGTTATTTGAAAAATCTGCCCAGACAGAGGGTAGAGAATCTTAAAAGAGGCGATGTCTGGGAAAACCTGGACTTATGGTAACCCTACTCACAGCATGTGCAGGGGGGGGAGTGTGCTGTAGCCCTTATAATATTGCTAGGTTGGTATTGCCAGTGATATCTTAGACCAGAGTGACCTGTGCCAAAGGTTTGCACTCCCTAATGACCACAGTATCAGAATTAGCAGGATGCAAATCACCCTGAGGCATGTCATTAGGTTTGGAGACTCTAGGAACGCCCAAGGAACGACAGCAATGACCACAATAATAGTCACAAGTTCTCAATCGACATTTAATTAATAATTGCATTGAACAGATAAACAAAGCCCCAACTCCTGAAATGTACACAAAGAAAGTGACAGACCATAAGTCATCTAGCACCAGTATTTTCATACTCACATCCCCAAGGGTGCTGTAGAGTTGGATTGATCTCTCAACAGATGGTCATCTGTGGAGGGTCTGCAGATGGGTTTTTCTTCCCTGTTCATGCTGGGGAATCCCTTCTATCCTTTGTTACACTCACATCTATAACCCTTATGCATGTACATGAAGGTTCCAACCCCTTTCCTCTTATCTTCCACACCCCATGAAATTTGGGGTACCCTGCTTTTCAAAGATTACCCCTTATTTTCATGAGTATTTATGTCACCAAGGCCCCATGGTAACCTGTGGTTGCTGCAGAACGTCTGGTGAGGTTACATTTGGGCATCTTGTAGTGGAGCATTGTGTCATATTTTCCCAAACATCACCTATTGGTACATATTTTACAGTAATCTTGTAACTTTATTGGTACAGGGTTACTGCTGGGGCACCTTCTCATGTCAACCCTTCTTAGGTCTAAGGTGGCTAAACTAAAAATTTTACAGGCCTCAACCTGCAGGCCTAGCATTATAGCCTAACTGCTTACATACTCATCACTCACAAATATATCAGCCTTACACTCCTATCCTATTTTTTCCTACACTTGTACCTACAAGTGAAATCGATCCATCGCACATGGGCAGCAGGTATAGTAGGCCAGGGGAAGCTTAGCCTCCCCAGTGGCACAGCCATTGACCTGCTGCCTTTGAGAGCACGGACCTCTGGTGCTCTGCCCCGAGGCCCCCTCCTGCTTTCCCCCCCGTGGCCCCGCTTGCACTCCAACTCTTCCCGTCCCTGCTCAACCCCTCCCCCAAGGTACCCTCTGCTCACTGAATCCCTCCCCTCTTCCATAGGGTGAAGGAGAGGAGGGATGCAGCGGGCAGTGAGGGTCTCTGGGGAGGACAGTAGAGCAACTCAGCGAGTGGCAGGCAGGTGGGGGGGCCTTTGGAGGAGGGAGGGTGGATGTGATGATTGGCAGGCAGCAGGGAACTCAGGGCCGGGGGCGTGGAGGAAGGGAGGGATTCAGCAGGCAGTGGGGACCTCGGGGGAGAAGGGGAGAGATGTGGTGGGGCAGAACGACTCAACGAGCGGCAGCCAGGCAGGCCTGTGGGAGAAGAGGGGTGGTGGGGAGGAGGGACGTGGCAGGCGTCGGAGACTTCTGGGGAGTGGGGTGGAGGAGGTGAGGGACTTGGGGGGGGCAGTAGGGGTCTCGGGGGAGGGAGGGGTGGAACAAGTCAGCGACCAGCAGGCGAGGGGGCTGAGCGGGGGTGGAGTGTGGGCGGGGCCTTGGGGGAGGAAGCCGAGTGGAGGCAGGGTCTTGGGGTGGAGCAGGCGACAGGGTCACGGTCCAGGTGCCAGGGGAGTGTCTGGCATTTGGCCAGCTTCCCCAAATGCTGGAGCCATGTGCTGCCCATGCCATCACACACTGAGTAAATATGAATTAACCACAACAATAAATCCCATAATTAAATACGATGATTAGCTACAGTGCACAGACATAGTTAAACGGAGAGATGAGGAACATGCCTGATAGGAACAAAGCAGGCAGAGCAGAGCTGAGCATCTGCCCATAGGATCTATGAGCCACGCACTCCTCACGCTGTGCAGTAGCCCAGCACCTCTTGACATAGCTGCCTAGGCAGGATCTGGGGCAGCTGGTGGGAGGCAGGGATGCAGGTTCATCTGTGGAGCCAGCTCCTCATTCCTCTTGGCTGTGGGTCCAGAGAGCTGGGGTCAATTGCGGCTGTCCCTGCGTGACCTGGGGTGAGGCACTTCATCTCTGTGCCTCAGCTTCCCTGCGGAAATGTTGTGAGGCTGCTGTGCTGCCTCTCAGGGTGGGGGGGGGGGAGAGCGGGGGTTGACTCCGGTTGGGTCAGGGAGGGGCTCAGGTGCTGGGGGAGTGGGAGCCAGAGCAGACTTCGCCCAGCATTCAGGACAGAGCCAGCTCAAGTGTAGGTGGTTGGTTACAAAGCCACCTTCCAGCCAGGAGCCACAGCGTCCTTGCCCTTCTATCCCCCCCGTGCAGTGCCATATGTCCCCTGCTCTCTCTCACCCTCCCCTCCCAGTTTCATCCATGACTGAGGGTAGCTGATCTCTGGTTTTGTTTTCACAGATGGGCGGCATTTTTTCAACAGAGGTGAGTGCAGCATGGTTTCTTGGGCCCCCCACAGGCTGCAGTCCAGAGCCAGCACCGGCTCCGCTTCACAGACTCTATTGTCACGCCAGCCACGTGAGGACAGGGATGGCTTCTGGTTAAGGCAGTGCCTGGCATGCAGGAGAACAGGGATTGGAGTCATGGAGTCTCTCTGGGCCTCAAGCTGTAAAATGGGGTAACAAGTCTGCCTTTGTTGGCTAATTAGATTGTAAATTCCCCAGGGCAGAGACTAGCTCTCACCATGTTGTGTATGGAGAACAGCTAGCACCACGGGGCCTGATCTTAGCTGGAGCCTGTAGGTGCTACTGTAACACACACAATATTTAGCCCACATGTGCTAGAAACCCCCCCACACCCCTCTCCCACGCACATACAGAGGATGTATTACTGAGTAGTTACCAGCTTACTGCGTCCCTCGTCCTCAGGGAAAGGAAACAAGCATCAAAGGTTCAGTCACTGGAGAGTAACTGCCTAAGGGACCAAGGAGCACAAACCCCAGGGCCTTTCCCCAGGCGCTTCAGGCTAGATTCACAAAAGGGACTTGGACTCAGCGCTGTGACATCTAACTGCTGGGCCCAAGTTAGGCGCTCAGGCTCCCCAGACAACACACAAGGAGAGTTAGGCACCTAAGACAGGGATTCTCAGACAGTGAGTGCGGGGGCTGCCCAGGAGTGACATGCAGTGGAAAGGGGTGAGGCTGCAGGGCCAGATCCGTAGGGTACTTAGGTGCCTGACTGACAGGCTGGAGGGAGGCCCCTCCCTCTGCCCAGGATTCTCCACCACGACCCCTCTCTGCAGTTAGAAACCGAAGCCAGGTCAGCCCTTTCTCAGAAAGAACCAGAGAGGGGCACACCCCCATTACAGCCCATGGGCTGGTGGTTAGGGCACTCACATGGTTCAAGTCCTCACTTCAAATCAGTCAGAGCAGGGATTCAAATCTGGCCTGCCCACATGCCAGGTGAGTGCCCCAGCTACTGGGTAGACGGACATACATTCAGCCAAGCCAGCCTCCAAAATTCCCAGTCTGTTCAACACCAGCTCCCTTTTGTGAGGCGCCCGAACCAGTAAGTGTACAGAGCAGGCCTATGGGATCAGGCCTTGCAGGCCAGATTGGCAGGGGAACATCTGCTTTGAGAATCCCACTGGTGAGCCAGAGCTCTGGGTAGCAGGGCAGTGTCAGGATGTAGGGGCCTCTGCACATGCCCCAGGCAACTCAGGTGGCAGCTGAGTGGGAGTGCAGTGAATGTCAGGGCGCCTGGCTGTTGGAGGTAGTCCCTTTGTGAATCCAGCGGCTAGGATTCTCACCCACCAGCTCTTCCTACCCGTTCAGAGGGAATGACCAGAAGCCTGACACACTGTCTAACCCCCTTTCAGCACATCACGGACATGCTCCTAGGAGCACTAGAAACGTTGGGCTGGAAGGGACGTGGTGAGGTCAGCTGGCCCAGCCCCCTGCATTCAGGCAGGCTCAAGTCAACCTAGAACATCTCTGACAGGGGTTTGTCTGACCTGGTCTTAGAAACTGCCAGTGATGGGGATTCCACAACCTCCCTTGGAAGCCTGTTCCGGTATTTATCTATCCTTAGCGTTACAAAACTTTTCCCTAATATAAATCTCCCTTGCTGCAGATTAAGCCCATTACTTCTCGCCCTACCTTCAGTGGACATGGAGAGCAATTGATCATCATCGTCTTTATAGCTGCCTTAGCATATTTGATGACTTATCAGGTTTTTCCCACAATCTTCTCTCAAGACTAAACATACCTGGGGTTTTTTTTTTAAACCTTTTGGGATAGGTCTGGTTTTCTAAGCCTTTAAGCATTTTTCTGTTGATTCCTTTGGATGCCCACCAGTTTGGCCACATCTTTCTTAAAGTGTGGCGCTTAGAACTGGACAAAATACTCCAGCTGAGGCTTCACAAGTACTGAGTAGAATGGGACAATTACCTCCCATGTCTTACATATGACATTGCTGTCAATACACCCCAGCATTATATTAGTCTTTTCCACAACTGCATCACAATATTGGCTCATATTCAATTTGTGATCCCCTATAATCCCCAGATCCTGTCCAGCAGTACTGCTGCCTAGCCAGTTATTTCCAATTTTGTAGTTGTGAATTTGATTTTTCCTTCCTAAGTGTAGTACTTTCAACTTGTCTGTATTGAATTTCGTCTAGTTGATTTCAGATCAGTGCTCCAATTTGTCCAGGTCCTTTTGAATTTGAACCTTGTTCTACAAAGTGCTTCCACCCCATGCTACTATGGTGTCTTCCCATAAATGCCAGAAGCATAATCGCCACTTTGTTATATTGACTAGTACTGGACCCAGGACAGACCCGCCTGAGTGACCCTACTAGACACATCCTCCTCTTTGACAGCGAACCATTGATAACTATGCTTTGAGGGAAGTTTGTCAATCAGTTGTGCACCCACTTTACAATAGGTAATTTCATCTAAACCACATTGCCCCACTTAGAGCACTCAGGACATAAATAGGTTTTGCCACATGGATGGTTCCTTGCTCATTTGCAGGATAGGTGTTAGCCAGGCAGGAGCCATGCTGAAAGGTGGCCAGCCTTCCATGGCATCACACAGGCACCAAATAGCTCTAAGGCAGAAGCATCTGCAGGAGTCACAAGGACAAACATTTACACAGAGCCCAAGAAACACTCCCTGAACAAACCAAAGCACACCCTCGTTCCCCAGCTGGTGTAAATCAGTGTCGCTCCACTGTGCTATGCAAATTTCCACCAAAACGTGGGCCCGATTTGCCCGGCCTAGAACCTTGCACAGTCACTTGTGCAAGGTGCATGTGAAGCACAACCATTCTGAGCAGGTAGTGTTTTATACCCATTTTGCACAAGTGTATGATATAGGGTGCAGGGCAGTGAGGCACCAGGCCTTGGATGCCTGATACATGAGCGAGTTGAAAGCAAGTATAACCGAGGTGGTTTATTACACAAAGGTGAGACTGAAAAAGCTGGAGAACGAGGAGGCAGAGAAGAAGAGACAGCACGAGAAGGAAGAGAAGCAGCGAGAGCATGAGAAGGAAGAGAAGCAGCGAGAGCGCGAGGAGGCAGAGAAGCAGCGAGAGCACGAGAAGGAAGAGAAGCAGCGAGAGCTCGAGGAGGAAGAGAAGAAGAGAAAGCACGAGGACCGGGAAAGAGAGCGACAGCACAAGGAACGCATGCATCAGAGAGAGCTTAAAGACAAGGCCGAGGAAAGAGAGGCCCGGCGCCAGATGCAAGAGAGAGAGTATGAGGAGCAAGAGAAGAAGAGGAAGCATGAGAAGATCATCACAGAGCTGCAGAACAGAAACCTGGAGTTGGTGAGTAGCAGCCCCAACAGAATTCCATCGTCATCCCTTGTAGCAAATGGGGCTACGCAGATCCCTACCTGAGTTTGCCCCCAGGTGTGGGGTCTGGAGACCCTTATAGACTGAGGGGAGTGAAGGGGGCAATATATGTGAGTCAGGTTCACAGGCATGATCCAATGACACAAAGCCCTAATTCTGCTCAGCTGGTTAGCTAAACTGTGTTTAGAAGCACTGTGTGACACCAGAGTGGTACAGCCCAGCTGGGGTGTGTCTGATAGACACGCTATGAAATTACAGCCAAAAGGAAGCACGCCAAGTGGAAGGTCATCCATTTAAAGAGGGGCCTTTGCAGTTTGATACCATTGCACAGGAACATTTACCAGCCTGGCTGGGATAACCGTTCGGTGCCAGCTCCCGCCCTGGGTCTGCAGGGCCCCCATGATAAAATGTCAGTGGGATGGGCCCAAGGAGGAATAAGGTACATCCAGAACCTGTGCAAAAATAGCCAAACCATTGTAGACATTTCCTTCCATGTCGCAGCCAAAGAGATTAAATAACATTGAACCAAGACCAGATCCCAGCGGGACCCCCACTGGAAACACCTCCTAGGATGATGGCACCTGAGTGACAAGTACTGTCTGAGGTCTACCCGTTAGCCAGTTTTTCAGCCATTTACTGTATTTACTGATACAATGGTTTTGTGAAATGCTGATTTTTTAATCAGAATGTCATGCAGTGCTAAGTCAAACATCCAGAGTCCATGTATACGATGTCAACACAGTGACCGTTATCAATCAAACTTGTGATCTCATTTACAATGGATTAGCAGCTGTGTTTGACAAGAACTGTTTCCCATAAATGATGGTGATTGGCAATAGTTACATCACCATCCTTTAATCATTACTCGTCCCGCAACAAGCTTCCCATGACCTTGCCTGGGAGCAATGTCAGGTCAAGTGGGCTATAGTTACCTGTATCGTCCCATTTAACCATTTAAAATATGGCAGAACATTAGCTTTTTTCCAGCCCTCCAGATCTTTGTGTGGTCCAAGGTCCAGGTGCTGCTCTGGACTAGGATGGCCACTCTTGGCCAGACTCCCTGATGATGGGCAGAGTAACAGCCTAGATACGCAGAGGCACAGTAGTGGGGGTGGGGGCAAGAGGGGATGATACTTCACAGTATGACGTGCCTCCTCTGAAGACCTCATTGCACCTTTCAACTCTAGAGGGTGCAAGTGGCCAAATGTACATCTCCTGCTCCCTCTCTGCAGCAAGCCCCATAGCCCCAACTAAAATGGCTGCTGCCCCAGCCCTAGTGCCCATCTCAGATCACCCAGACCAACCAGTGATCTCTCTCTCTCTCTCAATCTGTCTTCCTCACAGCGCATTCTCCGCCTAACTGGTCTCTCATCCAGTAAGAATTCCCCACAACGCATTCTTCAAGATGCTCTCTTATCCACCACACGCCCCACTACGCCTGATACTCTTGAGAATGCTGATGACAGCAGTGACGATGACGTGTATTGAACTGTACACTGTTCTTAATCCTTCTGAATGGAGGAACCGTGATTCCCAGCTGTGATGCCCAGTGTATTGTCGCCTAACCTGCCCAGCACAAAGCACGTAGTCCATTTCTCCTCTCACCTTCCCCTTTGCACTAATGGAATGCTTTTCCCACCCAGGGGTTTATTTCTGACTTTCCCTCTTGCTTTTTTGAGTCCTATTTATTGGCAGTGCTAATAAAGACACAAGCAACAGAATGTTGCGAGTCCTTCTTATGGGCCCAACCCTGCTCCCCTGGACATCAATGACAATTCAGATGTTGGGAGCAGGAACAGGCCCATTGTGCATATTCCGGCCAGACGTTAGCCCCTCCACACTTGAGACTTGTAGCATTTAAGGCCAGAAGACCCCATTGGGGTAATTGAGTCTGGCCTCCCTCAGAAACAGGAAGGGAATCTCACCCAGTGATTCCTGCATTGAGATGATACCGTCTGGCTGAGCGCAAGTAGATCTTTTAGAAACACACCTGGCCTTCATTTAAAGCCTGCCAGGATGTCTCTGGTAAGTGGTTCCAATGGCAAACTGCTCTCGTGTTTAAACGTTCGCATCTCACTGCCAGTCTGAATTTGTTTAGCTTCAGATTCCAGACACTGGCTCTTGTTCTGCCTTTGCTAGATCAGTGAGCCTTCGCCGAGCAGAAATCTTCTTCTCTAGGTACCTGTAAGGCCGTGATCAAGTCACCTCTTTATCTCCTCTTGGAAAACTAAGTAGATTGAGCATCTGAAGTCTAAGGCAGCGTTTGCAACTATTGACTCATTCTTTTAAGTCTTTGCTGACCCCTTTCCAATTTTTCAAACTCCTTTTTGAGGATTGGATACCAGCGTTGACCAAGGTACCCAGCCTTGGTCTCTCCAATGCGGCATGCAGAGGTCATGCTAACTGCCCACTCCTAGAAGCCATCCATCCATTGTGAGCCCAGTTCTACTATTCCCCAACCTACGACTTCGCCAGAACTTAACTAACCCAGCTGAGTGTCCATATGCATAAGTGCCCTGTGTCAAGGGCGTCAGAGCCTTCCCAGAACTGGGGGGCTGGGAGCCCTTGCCCTGCTCCTCTTCTTCCCCAGAGACCCCACCCCATGCCAAGCTGGAAGCCAGAGCAGTGCCAGGGAGCCCAGTCCCCCCACCCTGGGTGGGCTGAAAGCAGCCCCCTGGCCATGTCCCTGTCCCCCAGACCTCCGTCCATGGCAGGTGGAGGGACCCAGGCTCCCCATAGCTACCTGGCTGTGTGGCTATCCCTGACCCAGCTCTGGCTGGGGGCGCAGGGCCTCATAGCCGCAGCCCAGCCATGGAAAGAGCCGCGCGGGCAGCTATGGGGAGCTGTGATAGACCCTCCCCCTGCTCATGGTATAGGGAACTTAGGAGGTGGGGACATGGGCCTGGGACTGCTCTCAACCCCGCAGGCAGGTGGAAGGTCCGCGTGGCTCCCACAATTACCCGGGCTCCCCGACCAGGCTCCACCCTGGCCTGGCTGGGGGTGGAGGCCTAAGGGGGAATGGGTCCAAAAAGTGGGAGAGCTAGGGACCCCCTAACCCTCCCAGTTCTGGTGCCACTTTCCTGCGTCACAGTAATGGGGCTAGCTGTTCCTCTGTCCCCTGCTGGCTTCACTGAGTGCAGCCCTCTGGTGCCAGGCCTCTGTCGCTATCTCTCGGGGGAGGGAATCAATTGAGTCTTCCATTCTTAGACCAGCCCCTGGGCTACAGCACCCAGCAGAGCACCTGTGCTCACCCAGCAGGTCCGCCTGAGTCCGGCCCCTGCAGTTCTGCCCTTTGGGCGTTGCTGAGCAGCGGTGCAGTGAGCAGCCAGCCTGGTGAACCAAAGGCAGGTTTATTTGGACTGCAGGAACAAAGCATGCCGAGAACAAGCATTGTAAACAACCGACTAAGCCCATGGCTCACCACCTCCAGGGTAGCTGCGGCAGGTCTAGCTTCTTCAGACATGCCCAGTGCGTGCCTGTGTCCCCTAAAACCCCCTGCCCCCTTCAGAATGAGTCCCTTTTAAACCCTACTCCAGGTTTTCGCAAAAAGAAAAGGAGTACTTGTGGCACCTTAGAGACTAACCAATTTATTTGAGCATGAGCTTTCGTGAGCTACAGCTCACTTCATCGGATGCATACCGTGGAAACTGCAGCAGACTTTATATATACACAGAGAATATGAAACAATACCTCCTCAGGACAGTGGGGTGGGAGGAGGTATTGTTTCATATTCTCTGTGTATATATAAAGTCTGCTGCAGTTTCCACGGTATGCATCCGATGAAGTGAGCTGTAGCTCACGAAAGCTCATGCTCAAATAAATTGGTTAGTCTCTAAGGTGCCACAAGTACTCCTTTTCTTTTTGCGAATACAGACTAACACGGCTCTTACTCCAGGTTTTGGATCTCTTGGGGCCTTTTCGGGCCCTGGCCTTGCCCTGAGCAGTGGCTGTGCTGGAGCCATTCTTTCCCTTCCTGCATGTTTTTCCCTGACAGCCCCTGAGAGCTTGTTTGTCCCCAAACTAACCCAATTAGCCAGACAGGAATCCCCAGTATCCAGGTCAGGCTGCAGTGTTGCGAACAGCTCCAGCTCGGTCCATACACTACCCCGCAGGCCAGCGCCAAAGCACAGGGTGTCCTCGCCAGGTCCTGGCCAGAGTGCAGCCGCCAACACAGAGAAGTGCGCTTCTGCAGGGGGGACTGGGGCCTGGCAGGGAAAGGAGGGCTGTGATTGCGCACATGTAGGTTCAGTGTCTTTTTTTTTTTTTTTTTTTTTTTTTGGGGGGGGGGAGGGAGGCGGCAGCTGTCTGGCCATTCTGGACTGTGATTGGCTGGGATCCTTCCCCAACCAGCTGATTTTCAATAGATGGTTTCTCCAGCTGTGTCCTGGAGTCCGGAATGTGCCCACGGGATCGCGAGCCGATCTGGAGCCACAGCTGGGCGCTTACGGCCTCTCCAAGTGGCTGGTACCTATCAGGGCCACGCCGCGTCGGACGGGAAAGAAACTCCTCAGCGAGGCTGCGAAGGGCCTGGCTCTGGGACTGGCTGGGCCTGGGCCAGGCTGGCTCCTCCTGCTGCAAGGCATGGGGAGAACAGGACGAGCTTTGGGAGCAGCACAAGGCCCTGGAACTGGGGGCATGGACACCAGGGTCCTAGCTTACAGGATATGCAGGGACCCAGCCTGGGCCAAGCAGGATGCTGCCCAGTTTTAGCTGTGGCCTGAGTGTTAGTGATGCACTCTGGTCACTCAATGCTCGTGGGACAGGGCGGGGGCTCTGCTTACACCCCAGCAGAAGCCGGACCCTCCAGCGACGCCCACTGGGGCATCGAGCCAAATCTGTGACCGGCTGAGCAGCCCAGCCCCCGGGGGTGGGTTGGCATCCAGAGCAAGCTGGCCATTGGCCCTGAGTCACGTGCAGAGGCCTCCCCAGCTACCTGGGGGCACATTTCCAACTTAGCTCTGGGGGTGCAGTCAGGACAATACACTCAGCTCTTGGCAATGGGAGAGGGCACCACAGAAGGGAGGGACAACCCCAGGCTCCTCGGGGGCGGGGAAGAGACAGCATGGTTGCCCGAGACCCCTCAGGCAGGAGACATTGCGGAGGAGGAGTGGTGGCTCTGGGGCCCTTGACGGGTACGTGGGGGGGGTGTGGTTCTTTCATTTGCCTACCTCACCTGGCGCTCCTGCAGCAGGTAGCCATTGAGGTCCATCTCCAGTAGCCGTGGGGTGATCACCAGTGGGCTTGGCAGTGCCAGGTCCTGCTCTGGCCAGACCCCGCTGCCCCCCAGTGCTGGGAAGCTCCACAGCTTGTGGGGCCCTTCCTCCCTTGGGGTGCGCAGCCGGAGACCCCGCATGGCCAGGGGGCTGCTCACTTCCTGCAGTCAGACACAGGCACTTCATTGCTGCATCAGGGCAGATAGCTTCCCACCTCTCCCTTTGCCAGACTGAGGCAGGGGGACCCAGTGAGGAACAACTGGGGCAGAGAAGGCCAGAGGGCAGACAGGGGAGCTGTAGCCTCTTGAGTCTGCCAGTTCCATCCTGTGTGGGCAACAGGGCCTCTCCCTCTGGGTTCTGTGTCTCTGCCCCATGCCCGAGACCAAGCCTGGATCTGGGGGAGCAACACTGAACCCCTACACTTACCCTAGGGATGAATGTGGCCCAGACAGGCCAGTGGCAATGCAGGCAGCACCCTCCTGCCAGGGGCAAGGGTTTGGGGTCCCTCTGATGTGCCCAGGTTGCACTGGGCCCCCAGGGCGAGGTGCCTCTCTGGGGTAGCCCACCTGGTAGCCCTAGGCCCTCCAGACATCGCCCAGCCTAGTCCTGGGGGGGGTCATAGCTGGCCAGGACCCTACCTGTCCCATCAGCGCTGGAACCAGCATCTTGGGAGTGGGTTGGGGCCGAGTGTCGCTCCTTCCAGGAGGGGTTAGTGCGGTTGGCCTGGAGCAGATGGGATAAAGCCCCGGGGAGGCTGTGAGGAGGGGAGGGTAATGGGGGCTGGGGGATGATCCAGGAGCCCAGACCCACCCACCTCCCAGGCGGCTGTAATGGGGAGGGATCTCAAGGGAGGCTGGAACAAGAGGGCCCCGGGGGGTTGGTTTGGAAGTGGGAGCTGCCCAGAGGAGGACGGTGGGCGGGACGAGGACCCACAGCTGCCCTGTTCCCTGCTGCCAGAGCCAGCAATGCCAATGGACAGGGGGATCCCTTGGGCTGGTTCCCACCCTGCCCCCCCCCCGGGTGTGAGCGGGCATTACCGGCCAGCCCATGGCAGCACGGGCTGGATCAGGAACAGTCCCGAATGCTCCTCCACACGCCCCAGCGTCTCGCTGAGCAGCTCTGCCAGCTGCAGCCGCCTCGCCCAGCTGCAGCGCCGCTCACCCCGCCAGCACTGGAGTCTCTGCCAGGGACACGGAGGAAACCGAAGTGGGGTCAATGCAGAGAGCAGGGAGTGCCAGCACCCCAACCACCCAGCATGCCCCCAGCACATGCGGACACACACTGCCAGCACCCCCACACTCCAAAGGGACCCCGAGCACCCCTGCTCAGCCACACCCTGCTAGCGGCCTCTGGCCACAGACTCACTGATCCACCCGCTCAGAGCAAAGCGCCTCTGGGCTCCAGCCAGGGAGCGAAGGAAAACAGGGCTGCAGAGCCGTCCTAGCCAGCCCTACCTGCTGCCTCAGCCCTCGGAGTCGCCCCAGCACACTGTGTGCCTTCACGCAGTCACAACTGCCCTGACGTTGCTCCAGGGTTTCTTCTGCCTCCTTCATGCAGACATGGGCCAGGTAACCCCTCACCAGGCCCTCGAACCTCTGGCGGCGGAGCCATCGGAAGCCCCCCATCAGCAGGCTGGCGTCCTGCCGGGGAAGATAGCCCCTGAGCACAGCACCACTCGCAGCCCGGCATGGCCCTGTTCTTACTACATTGGGGTTCCCGGGGACCCCATTACACCCTCCATATTGTCTGCAGTAGACCCCAGTAGTCAGCTCAGATGCTGTTCTAGGCAGCCCACCCAGGAATCATGGCAGAGCCCTCATGGGCTAAATGTAGCTTGGCCTTCCCTGGATCCGAGTGAGGCACTGGGCTCTCTTAGCTCATTTCCTGCTTGAAGGCAGCAGGATTCTAGTGGTCAGAGCACAGGGCAGGGTGTGGAAATTGCCATGGACTCCTGGGGTGGCCTCACAGTTTCCTCATCTGTCTCCCTGGAGGCGTGAGGATTTGGAAGGTATTTGGAGACACTCCGATGAAAGGGCGAGACACATTCTAGACTTGGCCTCTCTGAGCTAACGGGCCCCACTCACTCACCTGCCGTTCGGTGCAAGGCCATTGACCCAGGGCAGGGAGCGCGGGGGGAGCCAGCTGGAGAGATTATCACGTGAGTTGTTTGACATTCCTCCTCCCCGCATTTAGATGGTGGGCGACTCCGGCCACCCCAGCTCCCAGATGAAGGGAAAATGCCCCTCCCGTTGCCAACGGTTAGAGGCCGTGAGTGAGAGCAGCTCAGTGCCAGTGCAGGAAGCAGAGGGATGCCAGGGGAGGTGTCTGCTGGTAGCTTCCATTGCCAGGAGGTGATTCCAGCTGTTCCTCCAGGCTCGGCTGGTGTCTGAGAGCAGGCTCACCTACCTGGTACAGGCCCCATGGCACCTGGCCTCTGCATACGCCTTGGTTCAGCACCCGTCTGTTGTGCAGCTCGTCCTGCTGAGTAAACAGGACCCTGGGGGCTCTCCTCTTGGCCCCGGCGCTGCCAGGCTTGGACCTGGGACTCAGCCCCCCTCCTGTGCTCATCAGCCGGCCTTGGGTTAGCTAGACAAGAATGGCAGGAGATGGTTAGCAGTAGCAACCCCTGGGCCTAGCTCCCCCGTCAGGGTGAGCACAGCTCCACTGCAGCCAATGGTGAATCACCACACGGGGGCGCTCTTCCCTCCACCAGTGCTGAGCCATGCCCCAGGACAAGCACTGGAGTGTCCATCCTGAGCACAAGAGCTGGCCGGTGAGTGGCCAGACCAACAGACACTGGGCGCGAGAGCAGGGTACCAGCCATCGCTAGCTGTCTGGCTGCCTCTGTGGCTGGGCACGCAGAGACCTGGGGGTGGATGCTGGCTGTTCATGCCCCCACTGCTCATTGCAGCTTGGGAGGCACCACGCCACCTCAGCTCCCTGCACTGACTTGTGCCAAGGGCAGCTCAGCCAGTCCAGGGGATTTGGGCCTGTACTGCCCACCCCGGCCTCCCAAGCTCCCTTACCGGGACAGCATGGGAACTGTGCCTTCCTCCTACAGGGCGCTGGTCCAGAGCCAACGGGCTGAAACGAAGGGGAGAAAGAGCTGGGTAAGCAGCGAGGCACCTGGTCCCGCAGAGCACTGGGGAGCTGAACTGTGTGCCCGGCAGCAGGGAGCTCGGAAAACTGGGACGATGCCCCCCAACCACTTACCCTGCTCCACTCAGGGCAACGCCTTTTCCCAGAGCTGGTGCGCCAGCTCTCCCTTGATCCGACGTCACGTCCTGCGGCTGGAGCAGCATCTTGTCTTTATTGCATAGACCTTCAAGCAAGCTGTAAAAAACTGGAAGCCACAGAAGCTGATCTTGCCTGTTGCTCTCCCTCCACTGTCCCCTGCACCCCCGACAGATAAACCCCTTCTTCCAACACTGGCACACTGCGATAACACTGGTCGCCATGGCATGTGCTAGGAGCTGTATGGAGTCGGTGGCGGACTGTCTAGTCTGCTGGGTTTCTACAGCCCCAGTGCAATGGGGCCCTAGGTATCACTGTACCAGGATCATTAACAAACAGTGTCTTGGTGCCACTCCCTAGCGGTCAGTAGAGTTGAGGTCGGGCAGGTCACCCAGGGGAGTGAATCCTAAAGCAAGATGCTTGCATGAGAGAGCCCAGGGCTGAACGTGCAGCAGCCAAATGCAGGCAGCAGGAGCATCCAGGCAGGGCACAAGGCGGGAGGGATCTCAGACCAATCAGGGCTTTACTGATCTGATGATCATTGCACCCAGCAGTGACCAGACACCCGAGCACCTGTGCTAGGAGCTGATGTCAGCCCAGCAGCTCATGAAGGGGACAGCTCAGTTCTGCAGTGGCTGGAGGTTCCACAGGCACCGGCTGGGGTGCCAATGTGGGCAGTGAAGCTGGAACTCCAGCCAGACTTTCCAGCTTCTGGGTGTCACAAAACTGAGATATCCTAGGGTGTCTCTGATAGATCTGGATCACTGGCCGTGTACTCGCTGCTTTTACAACCTGGACCTAGCACAACTGCCCAGCTGCTGTACAAGCAGGCCCCTCCTGCAAGCCTGGGCAGGAGCACCGGGGGGCTGCAGGGAGCAATGCCAGGAGGGTGCCAGCGATTTCAAACCCAGAGGGCTGCTTGGGAGAGCTGGGAGCAATCAGAGCCGCCCAAGATCACATTGGCAGGAACGTGACCCAGGAAAGGAACAGAAGCAGCTCAGCTTCACAGTCAGCTGCTCTGGAGACCACACCCAGCGCTGTAGAGCCCCCTGGGCAGCCTTGCCATGACTGGCTGGGAGTCTCAGGCCCAGCAAGTCCCATACCTAGGGTAGCGTTCCCAAGCAGTGTGCAGATTTCAGCTCCGGCTGCGTCCTCCGGGGCCGCTGGGAGCGCTGTCATCAGCGTACCACACGGGCCGTCCAGGAGCCGAGCCAGTGCGTGGAGCTCTGCAATCCAAGCACTAACGGGTCAGCCGCTTAACCACGATCATTGCGCAGCACCTTCCAGCCGAGGGCACCAGCACATGGGTCAGTGGCGGGGACTGAGCTCGGAACTGCTGGATCCAAAACCACAGCCCCTGCTGCCTGAGCTGAAGGGCAGGGCCAGCAGCACCAAGGCCCAGCTCACCCACATGGTCCGCCCACCAGAGACGGAGGCAGCGGGCTACGGGAGCACCCAAAGTGCTTCCTGTACATGCACCAGCTCAGCCTCGCCACCCCTGGGCCACAGAGGGGGGCAGTGACTTGGCTGGGGTCTACAGGCAGCACATGGCACAGCCAGGGCTGGAACCCAGGAGTCCTGATGCCCATTACCCTCTGTAATCATGACTCTGCTCCTGGCATTACCATCAGTGGATTTACCAATTGCTCGCCCACTATGCTGTCTAGGTAGCCTATAGCTGGCCACAGCCCTACCGCAGGCTGGGAGGGTAAATACATTGAATGGGGATGGGACCAGATATAGACCTTAGCTAGTCCCAGGCAGGACTAGCCTGCTGGGGTGGCAGGACCCCAGGAACAGGCTGCTCCTGCTAACTCTAGGGCCTCTGCCCTCCGGTTAAGGAGTGCGCTGCCTGCCTATGCGCCACGGCTTGCTACGGACACACCAGGGGCTGCTGCTGCCTTTCCCCCCGTTCCTGGTGGCTTCACCTTTAGCGATAAGTCCTGCCCTCAAGGTCTCTATGAAGGCCACCACGTAGCTGTCGGCTCCACGGTGTCCCGCTGCAGGCGCTGGGGTTGCCCCGCCGTGGGCCTGGGACAGGGCATCTGGGGAAGCACCTGGGTCAGGTGGAGACAGGGTCAGTCCTGGCCATGGAAGGGCAGGGACTGGGCAGGCACCATTCTGGGCAGCAGAGCACAGCGGGGCTCCTCTCTGGGCATACCCGCATGACTGCTTGTGGGGGGAGGGGTTAGGGGCCCCAGTGGGCTGGGCACATCCCTGGCCCCCCACGGCTGCATGGCTCTTCACGGTGCCAAGCAGAGGCTGTGATCGAGGGGGCATTGCCTGGGCATGGCAGGGCCAATCCTTGTGCTGTAGAAAACACCCCCTGGCCCTGTAAATGCCACCCAGACACTTGGGGAGCAGGGCCTAGAACCCCCACCCATCTGCTCCCCAAAGTCAGGCCTCTGCTGTCTGCTGCCTGATCTGAAGGAGGTTGGCTCCCTTCGCTGCTGGCAGTAGCAATCCCTTCACCCCCCCACAGGGGCCTTGCTTCTACAAGGCAACATGCCCAGAGACACACAGTATGGGACGCCAAGGAGGCATGCCCACCCTACAATACACAGGCAGAGCTGGCTTCCCAAGGCAAGCCATGGGGATGATGGGCCTGATCCTGCAGTCTCAGGCAGACCCCCAGCAACATCACCTGAGGGCATTGCCCCCCAGCATGCCTGTGCCAGGCTGTCCTTGTCCCTCTCTAGCATCACCCTGAAGGCCTGCCTGGCCTGGGCACAGAGGAGGCACATGCTGGTGAAGGCTGTCTGCAATATGTCCCACTCACCTGCTCTAGGGGCGCCCCCATGTCTGGTGGGCCCGGGGGAAGGAGCGGCTCCTCCAGCAGGGGTGGGGGGCAGAGTCAGCTCAGGGAAACCTCTGGCCTCCAAAGCCAACTGCGATCCGGCTGCAAACATCTGGAAATCAGACCAAGAATCCCCAAAGTCACCGTGGCAGCAGCAGCGCCCACCTTGGGGCGCCGGAAAAGGCAGTGATGGTGCCAGGCTCCCGGCCAGCCCCTTGCTCTGCCCAGCCCTATTCAAAACGCTGCTGAAAATCCCTTTCCAGCCCATCGCTCTGCCCCCCGCCCACCAGCCTCAGTCCGCTCCACGCTGCTCCTCTGCTCAGCTCACACCAAGTCGCTGCCCTGCCCCCTCCACTCTGCCAGGCTCAGCTGCTGCGCCACCCCCCACCGTGCCTGCGACGTCACCTCACCTGTGGGGCTGTCTCCACTCGCTCAGCCGGCTGCGTCTGCTGCACCATCTCCACCGGCTGCATTGGCAGGTTCTGCAGCACTGTCCTCAACTGCTGAGCGGTCTCCCCCCGCTGGGACGTCTCTGCTGGGCACGTCGTCTCCGCTGGGTGCCATGTCTGCTGCAAGAATCTCTGCCCCTCCTAGAGCACAGGACAGGCAACCCCGCCCCAGCACTCGTGCAGGTCCCAGGCCACACCAGCCTGCCCTTCCACACACAGGGCAGGTGCGGATTTTGGCTATGCGGCCCCCCCCGGCGAGGGACAATCCTGGCAATGCGTGCCTGCTGGAGCACGCCCGGCTGGGAGGCCATGCCCAGGCCTGTCACACTCCCGACATCCAAGCAATGAACCCCCTGGATCCACAGATCCTGGAGAGCCCCACGGAGCTTGGACACTCCCTCACATGACAGGCAGCGACTTGGGAGAATCTGAAATCTCTTCTCTTCCCCTAGGAAATCTTGTGCCCCCGGAACCAGCCCCCATCCCCCACCATGCCAGGCCCTGCAAACACCCACCTCCTCCCACTCAGCTGCCATGGTCCTGCAGTGCCTTTCCCAGTGCTCTGTGTCCTCATGGCTTTGCAGTTGGGCTGCAGCTAACTCTGCCTCCAGGGCGGCCAGGAGCTGGAAACCACAAGCCAGCACTCAGACTGAGACCCAGCTGCAGGACGAGCTCCCTGGCCCCTCCCTTGCCCGGTTCTCCCCCTCCCCACCGTGCCCCTGCCCATCTCCATTCTGAGGAGGTGCCAACCCCCGACCAGGTGCCAGTTCGCTCTCATGGCAGTGCAGGCCCAGGCCCAATCCTCAGGAAATCAGGAGTGAGAAGGAAAAGAAAGAGCCCTCCTGAGTGGTCCCCGAAGGCCGACCTCCTCTCCCCTCCCCCCGACAGCAGGACACCCACCTCACAAGTAGCCGAGGCCTCAGGGGTCTGCACCGCTCCATTCCCGGCTGCAGCGCCCCGCCTGGGGCTCCTCTCACCCCCTGCAGAGACGGGCACGAAATAAAGGTAATTAGGTACCTAACTCCCATTGGTTTCAATACCTTTGAGTCACACAGCCTTGGCAGCTGATGCACAAAGGGCATCTCCTTGCAGTGCCAGCCCCTCCCAGACGGGAGCAGCTGTGAAATCACCCGTTTTCCTTCCCCACCATGAGCTCGCCCCGCTGACCCCAGCTGCGGGCGCCAGTCCACAGGCTGGGCCAACACAGGCCTGGCATGCTGGGCTCCCCAGGAACTCTGCCAGCAGGAACAGCACAGGGCAGTGGGATGTGGGGCCTGGGCATCTCCTGGAGCCCTGTCCCCTCTGCCCTGGGGACATGACCTTGGACCCCTCCAGCCAGAGGGGAGGCTGCCCATCCTGGCGCTGACGGAGCCCAGGGCACACAGGGCAGGGCTGGGCACACTCAGTTACCCCCAACCCTTTTGCAGTGAGTCTCTGGGCCTGATCCCTGCATTGATCTCACCACCTCTCTGGTATTGTCCCCTAGGCCTTTGCACATCCTCCACCCCACCCAAACCTGCACCCAGATCCTGCCACACAGCTTGGCAGCCAGTCCCCTGGGGAATGGAGCCTGGGGGAGAAGGCAGCTGCTGTTGGGGTCCCCTGGCATTTCCGGCCCCTCATTCAGGGATCCAGCCCAGAGCCACCCTTCCAAGGAGTGGGACTCCAGGGGCTGCAACCCCACCTGCCTCCCCTCCCCACAAGGTGAGCTGGGGCTGGGCTGAGCAGCCCTGGATAGCAGGTACCTGCAGGATGTGTGGCTGAATCCTCTTCAGCATCTTCCTCTTCCTTTCCGGCTTCCCTGGGCCCTCTGGCTGGCCCAGACAGTGCCTCTGGCCCCAGGACAGCTGAGTGTGCCAAGGGACCACCAATGGGCTGCGGCTGATCCGAGTGCTGAGCAGGGAGAGAAGGGGGTGGGGAGAGAAGTGGGGACGGAGGGAGTGACAGGGGGAGACAGGCAGGGGGACCAGAGACCTGGATCTGCTGGAACAGGGGGGTAAGTAACTCACAAGGGGGTGAGGGGGCTTGGAGCAGGGAGCTAATACTCACGGGGGAGCTGGGGGGGGGGTTAGGCAGCGGGGGTGCAGAGGAGCAGAAGCTCCGAGCTGATGGGGGGAGGACACTAGAACTCACGGCCCGAACTCGCGACCCCCCCCTGCAGCCTGCACGGGGGGCGGCTCAGCCACCCCATCCAGGGTGGATCCTCAGTTGCGGGGAGAGTCTGCTGTGCAGCCAGGTCGAGGGCATCGAGCATTGTCGGGGTGACGGGGACTCACCTCTGGGATCGGGAACCCCCCTTCAGGTCGCACCATGGACTCTGCCAGCCTTTCCCCGAGCTCCCTTCCTGCTGGTGGCCCCTCCTGGGCAGCCCCCATGCAAGAGGGGAGCAGCCCCCCTGAGCATGCAGCAGGGCTGGATGGGGAGCATTTGCTGCACTGGGACAGGAGGAGTGGGGTTAGTCCTGGCACTGAGTCCCTCCCTCCCCCATCCCCTGGGCCAGCGTGCAGTGCCGGGGAGTCACCCTGCGAGCACAGCTAGGCACAGAGTCTGTGGGGTCAGCTCCTTTCCTGGGCCAGCTGGGCCCTCACCTGGGTGGCCACATCCCTCCGCGGCCGCGCCTTCTCCTGCAGGAACCCGTCCAGCTCTGCTATATGCAAGTCCCGGCTCCTCAGCTCGGCTTCCAGGCGGGCCCTCTGAGCCCCACTCTCCTGCTCCAGGCTTTGCAGGCGTCTCTGCACGGGCAGGGAGGGGAGGGCTGGTTAGCAGGGCGCCCGGGCACAAGGGACAGTGGGGCAGGAGCAGCACCAGGGAGAAGAAGGTCCCTCTCCCCACCCCAGACTTTGGGAGCTGCTACGGGTGGTGGGCCGGGGCAGTGTCAGAAGCTGGCTCTCCATCCCTTCCCCATGCAGGGCCTACGGGCACCCCTCCCCGCTGCCCACCTGGGTGCTCTCCAGCTGGGCTCGGGAGAGCCGGCTCTCCTTTGCCTTCATCTCACTCAGCTGCTGCAGGTCCTTCAGCTGTCGTTCCTTGGTCTCCACGTCTGGAAGAGACCGACAGCCGCCGGACATGAGAGGGCACTTCTGTCAGGCCCCCAGGTGGCATTACAGGGCAGTGTCCCCAGGGGACCCTGAGCAGGGACTGCCTGCTGCCAGCAAAGACCCCAGGCCAGGGGTCAGCCAGAGCCCCATTGCAGAGCCTGGCAGGAGGGAGGGCCAGGAGAGCTGAATGCTGGGACTCACAGGGCACCCTGGGCTCCGATACTGGCATCACCCGTGTAGTGGCTGGCCTGGCGACTGCTGCTCACGCACCTGCCAGAGGCCTTGCTGCAGGGCCTGCGTGTGGCCAGCCATGGCGCGTGGTGGAGAGCTGCAGCCACAGGATGCAATGCTGGGGAGCCCACCCGTGTCACGGGGGTGGGACACAGCCCCTCACCTGCTTGAGCCTGCAGGAGCCTGTGTTTGATCTGGACCACCTCTTCCTTAGCCTTGTCTAAAGCCTTCTCCACTTGCTTCCTGTGGCTCCTGAAGGACAAACCCCATCTTGCCTGATCATTGCCAGCGCCCCAGGCCAGCCCCTGCCCAGCCCCACCCTGCCCAGCTGCAGTTGGGGGAACCCCCAGGGTAGAGTACCTAGGAACACGCGTGCAGGGCAGAGAGCCTGTTTCAAGGGGGTTCAGCACAGAGCCCAGCTCTTCAGCCTGGCTGTCCTGCCCTGTCCTGCCTTGGCAGAGGGGTGTCAAGTACACAGCCTCTCTCTGGGACCAGCTAGTTGTTGGCACAAATCCCACAGTCCCCTGCCCTGCAGCTACAGCTTCTGCGCCTTTTGGGGTCAAACGTAGCCTGCCTCAAAGGGGAGCTGCTCTGTTGAATGGGACCCACTCAGCAGGGGGCTGGTCTCCTGCAAGTTGTCTGGGCTAGTTGTTCAGAGCCTGCTGGCCTCAGCTAACAGGCCTGGGGGTTTAGCTGTTAGATCCAGGAGGCCCAGACTCCCTCCCGCTGGCCTGGGGCACAGCGTGACATAGGGTGATCTGACCTTTCTACGGTCTTTGATTACTTTCTCTCTCCCGAGGAAATACAGTTCTGTTATCCAGACACGGTTGCTGTGTGTGGGGGAGACCCGAGCATGGTGGACTGGCCCCTTTGCCCAGCACCCCTCTCTGTGACTTGCCTCAGGGAAATGGAGAACCCAGGACTCTAACAAAAGATCAACAGGGTCCTACTGGTTGTGTTAGGGGTTAAATGGGGCTGGTCCCCCAGCTAGATGATCCGCGTTAGGCTGCGTGCACATGGCCATCACCTAGCCAAGTTGCACAGTGACCATCCTGCTCAGCTGCTGAGGGAAGGTCATCAGTGTAATGAGCCTGGAGGTCTCAGCTCTGCTGCAGGCTATCTCCTCAACCCACTCCAAGAGCATGGCTGATAGCAGGTGCCAGGAGCAGCACATGAAAAGGGAGATCTGCCGGCGCAGGGTCCGGAAGGCAGGCAGGCAGGCTGTAGTGGACACATTTGCCTGCCCAGAGGTACCTTTTGGGGCTGTGGGTGGCCAGGGCGCTGGTCATGTAGCTGATAATGTCCTTGTTCAGATCCACCAGGCGGGACATGGCTGCTTCGGCCGAACTCAGAGCCGCTGTCACCTGGCAGCAGAGATGGGCAGCCCCTGAGACAGCCTCTTGCAGGGGTGGGGATGGGAGAGGGGCCTAGGGACAGTGCCCACAAGTGACTGCGGGCTGCCAAGTGCCCTGGGTGAAATGGGCTGGGGGGGGGCACAGCCTAGTGCCCATATCTGATGGTCTGCTCCCAGCTGGCACTAACCAGGGACATGATGGGAGAAGCCCCTGGAGTCTGCCCCTCCCTCCACCTTTGACTCAGCTCCTCCTGGTCGGGTGCTGCTTGGTTAATCTCTCCCAGCACCCCGGGGGCATCCCTAGCTCAGAGCAACTGGCCAGCAGGAGTCTGGCCTCGTGGGCAGGCCCTAAGCAAACCGGTGGAGTGACACTTCCAAGAGCCTGTAAAAAGCAGCAGGAATGTGAGTGGGGAGGTGGCTCACACTGCCAGCAACCAGTGGGTTGCTCATTGACATGGGGTTGTCTAGCAGGTGGGTGGCTATGTGGGGCTGGACAGGGTGCCCCATGGGCTCTGGGGTCATGGCACTGCTGTGCCAGTCACTCAGCCCCAGGGATGGCAAAGTGGCTCCAGCCTGCTGGGCATTACCGTGCCAGCCACGTCGTCCATGTGCACGGGGAAGTCGTCGAGCAGGCTGTGGCTCTCCTCCGCCAGCCCGAGCTCCGCGGAGCAGCTGAAGAACTGCAAGGGAGAGAAGCGCGGGTCAGAGTCCAGCCTGCGTCCCGGGCCAGAGGGGACAGCTGCTTGCCAAGGCCCAACTGGCGAGGCCCCAGCTGTGCCCTTTTCAACCTGGAGCCTGCATCTCTGCACAGAGGCATTGTCACAGGTATGATGTTTGCCTCTGGGCCCCCCAGATTCTCCCCGGATCCCCGCACACCACGGACCCCTCTGACCTCCTGCAGCTGGCTCAGGAGGCTGTTGCGCTGCCCACAGGACTCCTGGTACCCCACGATGAAGACAGTCACTTGCTGCTGGTATCTCCTCTTCTTCACAGGGTCCCCCAAGACGGCTGCCAGCTGCTCCTGGGCATCCGGGAGAGAAACTCTGGGCTCATGCAGCCCGGAACAGCGCGCCCCTTCCCATGCTCAGGGTGTATGACGAATACACACCGCTGGCTCTCCCTTAAGGCTGTTCGGAGCCAACTGGGCCTGTCATGCCTCACTCAGATCTCCAGAGCTCACCCTTGGATAAGGTGACTGTGGCCCAGATTCCCCCTTCTGCCCTCCTCAGACCCAGACTAGACCAGGGTGCGAGCCTTTGGCTTCCCTTGCTTGCCAAAGCAAGTCATTAGCAAATGGCTAAGTCCCATGTAATGTACAGGCGGGTGTCTGGCATCGCTGCGGCTCAAGCGTGGGAGTGTCACGAACATAATGATCCCAGGTTCTTATAGCACCTCCCATCAGCTCTCAAAGCCCTTGACACCGACCTCCTCTGTAATTATGTCCATTGTACAAAGGGGAAACTGAGGCACAGCAAGGGACTATGACTTGCCCAATGTCATCTAACAGGCCAGGGCAGAGCCAGGCCTAGAACCCAGATCTCCTGAAACCCAGTTCAGTGCTCTTTCCACTAGAGCACACTGCCTCCTGCAGCAATGCTGGACAAAGAGCTAAAAACCCACCCAAACCAGTGGCTTGCACTCCCCACAATTCACGAGGGGTCTCATTCACTAACATGATCCAGCCTAATTTGCACTTCACCAGGGCCTAGCACTCACAAAACTCCTGACAGGGTGGGGATTTTCCTAGTTAAACACTTTCACTTCGCCAATCAAGTGAAAGGGGGAGGGATAGCTCAGTGGTGTGAGCATTAGCCTGCTAAATCCAGGATTGTGAGTTCAATCCTTGAGGGGGCCATTTAGGGACCTGGGACAAAAATTGGGGATTTGTCCCCTTTTAAGCAGGGGGTTGGACTAGATGACCAACTGAGGTCCCTTCCAACCCTGATATCCTATGATCAGGATGCACAAACAATCCCACGTGACAGTTTGCTGCAAATCCCCCCTGCCCACGAGGTGCCTGAAGAGGGGCTCTGTGGCAGAACTCAGGGCGCAAGCCAAGGGCCACAAAGCCTGGCTCCGCTTCTGTACAGTGGGCACCAGCCACGCTGGCACCTTCTATAGCTCCCAGCCCTGGGGTTGCATCACCCCCAGCTGTGTGGCAGGAGCTGGGGGGGAGGAGACAACACTGGAGCCTCGAGTGCATGGGGCTGGGGTGGGATACATCTATTCCAGCAGGAGCGCTCCTTAGGTTGCGATCAGCCTCCAATCTGACTTGTTACTGCGCCGCCCTTAGCCCCCCCATTTCAGCCCTGCCTCCCCTCCCCTCTCCTGACAGGAACTACCCCATGCAGGGGCAGGGACCTGTCTGTGCAGCAGCCCAGCCCTGGCGGTTGTTTCACCCTCGCCCCGTGGGGCAGGGGGCTATGGAACAGGCCTGGGGAGAAGCACGGTGCCCTGTTGAACCTACCACATCCTCCACAATCTCCGTGGCTGCTTGCTGGGCAGAGGAGACGGGCTCACTGCGCTCATAGGCCTGCATCATCTGACAGGAAGTGAAAGGGTTAATTAGAAAAGGCCTGGGGCACTGCCAGGTATGACACACATGCCACTTGCTGCCCCCCCCCCCCGACAGGGCCAAGGCCCATTGCTAGAGTTGGGGAGAGCATCCTAGCTTGAGCAGGCAGGGAAACATGCCAGGAAGGCGGCTGCATGCCCCTCACCTATGGGGATGAGCAGAGCCGGTAAGGAGAGCAGGAGCATCTCTGCAGAACAGGGGGGCAGGAGTGGAAAGCAGCAGAGAGGGAAGGGAGCAGAGGGTGATGTGTAGGGAGCAAGGCCTGCCTGCCCTTTTTCTCTGCTGTAGAGATGGGGGAGGTAGCTCGGCCCTCTCTGAGCTTCTGGTTCAGGCTCTCTGCAGACTCAGACAGACATTCCTGCAGCAGCTTCCTTTCACAACTATGTGGGCTACAAACTTCTCCCTTCAGCGGCAGTGCCCCCTCCACCCCTGCTACGGCTGGAAGCTGTGCCACGCTTGGTTCAGGGCTCCAGCAGGGAACAGCATGGGATCCCCAGTCGGGGGCAACTTGCAGCTAGACAGGGATGGAAATGCCGTTTGCTCACATGGTCAATCCGCGCCCGGATCTTTTCCAGCTCCTCCCTGGTTTCCTCAGCCTGCCGCGCTGCCTTGGAGTACGTGGTGGCTTGGATCACAGCCGGGGCAGGCCCGGCCCAGCTGTGGAGGCTGCTGTCCCAGCTGGTCTCCATGGCCGCCAGCCTGGGCAGGAGGAGGCAGAGGTGATGCAGCGGGAGTCTCTGCCCCCAGCCTATGTAATTTGTTTCCTTGGCTTTAGGGTTTCTCTCAGCCCAGCTCTCAGATGATCCACAGATTTTCCTTTTCTCCCCCCTTCCACACATGGCCCCTCCTATACACACAGCTCAGTCCAGGAGGCTGGTTACGGGGCTGAGTCCCTCACTGACCCACCACTATCTGCTCCATAAGCCGGCTCCTAAACCTTGGGGTGAGATGGGGAGTGCTGCGCCGTGTGGCATGCAGAGCGCTGGATTTGCTATTTACACCAGTCACCCCCTCTCTCACCCTTCTTGTTAACACAGCACCAAGGGGCAGAGATTGACGTGCTCACAGCCAGGCAGTTCACAACCATGTAGCTCTGGCCCGTGCTCACATGCTGGGAACAGACACACCCTGATCTCGCTTTAGCGGGCTGCGGGAGCAACATGCTCAGCGCTCCCACTCCTCACACACCATGGCAGTCACACCCCCTCTGGGTGTTTCCCTTCCTACCACTCACAGCTGGACCAGGCAACAAGAGAGGCTGGGCCATTCCAGTGACAGCCCCCCTGCCCCAGGATAGACTGGGGACTCCCCAGAACACAGTGGGGCTCTGTATAATGCACAGGCATTAAGGTGTGAAGGGATCATGATGATGATCTAATATAGCCTCCTGCACAGCACAGGCAAGGCAATCTCACCGAGATTCCTGCAGTGAGGCCATAGCTCCTAGAGAAAGCCATCGTTACTGGAGAGGCTGTGCATTAGATAGCTATGGCCTCTCAGCATAGCCTAGCTTGTGCCAGAGCATTACAGACCTCACGAGGTTAGTGAGCCTCGCAGGCATGCAGGAGCTGGAGAGAAAACTTAAGAGGCAACGCACTGAGTGGAAAAGTCCTATGCTTGGAAGTCACTCACCTGCCTGGAGCTCCAGCATCGGCTGCTATTGAGTGAGTGAGTCGCACCTTGGGGATATTTTCCAGCCTGATGCTCACAATGGTTACTATAAACAGGTGTTTAGTAACTGCATCCCCAGGGGAGAGTGCACACACCTCACAGCTTCTACGGAAGGAGGAAATGGAAAATCACCCACACCCAGGCCTTAGCCTCTGCTACTTACCTGGCTGCATCACTAGTGATCAGGTTGGCAAGGATGGAGGTTTTCACCATGGAATCCAAACCTCCTTTAACTGCAGTTTACTTGGCAATACCCTAAACTGACAGCAGCTCAGCTACCACCAGGCAACTCTGCGAAGGGGCATGGTTCCGGTTTGGGTAACCGGCCAACAGCTGGGACGCTGCTCACTCTATAAGTCAGCCTAGCAGAGAAAGGTCTGACACCATCCAGGGGGTGGAAGCTGATGCTAGACAAATTCAGACCGGAAATAAGTGTAAATGTTTAATAGCGAGGGGAATTAACCATCGGAACAAATTTACCAGCAGTCACAGTGGATTCTCCAGCACTGGCAATTTTTAGATGGAGTGGATTTTTCTTTTAAGTTATGCTCTAGTGCAACTAGAAATCAATTCTGCAAAGGCTTGTGGCCTGTCTTATACAGGTCAGACTAGATGGCCATAACGGTACCTTCTGGCTTTGGACCCCATGAATTAGCCAGGTTACTAGTCACACCTGAGATTACTAGAGACATTATAGATACTGTGTCCTTTTTGCTATTGATACGATTTGTTTCCACACTGCACGTCTCTTGGGCAATGGATCTAGTCAGTTTCCCGTGTCAGATCTCAGGTGCTCCTATTTTGCATTTTTAGCATGTCTCCTACCCAAGAAGCTAAGAGCTTTGTGGTGACTCAGAGCACACCCCTCTGAGGACATCATCTTCACACGCCCACCTCAGGCACAGGGAAGGCCCACATTTCAGAAGTGACCCGACTGAAGACTTCTGTTTTTACTTCTTGACTGTCTAGAGCAGAAATACAACAACCAGCCAGAGAACCCAGGGCAGCTCATTTCCCCTGCTCCTCTCCAGCCCTGAGGACCCCTCTGTAGCCCTGCCACCATGGACACGGTCTGTCTAGCTGGGGCTATTGGAAGGGGACAGAGCGTGCAGTGACTGGCCATGGAAGGTGGTTTATTTGGAGTGGAAAGTAGTGCTCACATACTGGGACTCACCAGCTTATTTCAGAGAAATTGACAGCACACACAATGAGCTGAATTTGGGACTTTTCAAACCCCATACAGCCACAGATGTGCTGGTACAGCCCAGGCCAGGAAACATCTCGATAAGGAGGCTGCAAGGCAGATTTAGTATGGAGGGCATCAGGGACAGAAACTCCCAGCAGAACCTCTCCAATTCACAGTAACCCCAGCGACCGCACTTCTGCATTCTGAAAACAAGGGTGTAACTGAACAAATCATCATAGAAGGCACTGTGATCAGGTAGTCACCCCTCCCCTGTGCTTTCCCCTGCCTCGCTGCAAGCTCTTCTGAGACTCACAGAAGGTAAAGAGCCCCCATGCTGCAGTGTCAGGGCTCAGAGCACACACTACCTGGTGTCCCTAGTTTGCTAATCCACCTTGGTTGACTGGAACTGGGGACAGAGCACTACTTAATGCATGCAGGGTGCTACATCTACACCTGCCCCAGAGTGTAGGAAAGGTGTGTGTAGAGCGCCCCCTCCGCAATGGTGGGTAGGTCAATCAGAAAATCCTAAGCATGCCAGCACCAGCACATGGCATGTCTGGACCTCCTGTGAGCACACTGTGATGCCTCCCATCCGGTAATGCATCACACAGCACATGCCTCAGCATGGATGGCACTGCATGAGGCAGTACTTGCAGCTCATGTGCTGGGGAGACCGCTGACCTAGAGGAGACAAAGCCCATGGAACCAGAGAGCAACACCAGGACCTAAGGCGGCAGTGTGGTATTGGGGGGGGGGGGTCGTCTGCTGGGCTGAAACTCTCACCTCCACCCTGGTGATACACGGTCAGGGAGAGCTGGCAAGCTCAGTCTCACCAGCTGGGCAGGAATTAGGGCTTGTCCACACAGGACAGTCTTTACCAGTTACTGGTATGATTAAACCAGTGTATTTAACCAACTTAGACATACCAGGGTAATTCTCTGGTGCTGGAATATGAGTGTGTCCATGTGGGGGTTACACAGGGAGAACTAGCAGTTTACATACACTGTCACTTACACCAATATTACCTTCTCTGTGCAAACAGCCCTCAGGCCACTCCTCAGCACCTTCATCCTGGTGAGTAACACAGCGTTCAGGACCAACTGCTGTCCTTCAGAAGGGTCCAGCAGCCACTCCCCAGGGGGACAGGGCATAGCTATCGTCCTCCCAGGAGATCAGAACTACTCTGCTAGGCTCGGAGGACAATGCACTGTGTTTATCGCCCTCTGGTGGCTCGATACTGCATTCACAAACACAGCGACTATGGGTGCTCTGCAGAGGAAGATCATCCCCATACTCCAAAACAGTAGTGAAAGCCCCCACCCCTAGTCACTGTTCATGGGCCTCCTGCTCCTGTGACACTCCCTCCCGCAGTAAGGGCCAGTCAAGCCCCCCCCCCCCCCCCCCGACACCCCAGCACTAGTGGAGAGAGGGCACAGGTTTGGTTTCCCACGTTTATTGGAAAAGTGACAGCACAGCAATGGATTCAGATAGCTCCTCTTGGTGTTTTGAAGTTCATTCCCACAGTGGGCTGCGTGACCTGCAGATTGGACAGACTGCCAAAGTCCTGGAAGACATATGGAACAGACCAGGTCACACTCAGCATGCCAGCCTGCCCCTTCCTCTTTGCTGGGAGAGGTCCCAGATCAAAGCAAAGCAGGCTCTGCCTCGCCTCTCCCTGCCAACACACAAACGCATCTACCCCGAATCCCAGTGAGAACAGAGGGCGAGTCCTTCAGCCTGTCCACAGACAGGAGACAGTGCTGCAGGGACAGGGAGGGGGAAGTGTGTCACACAACACAGCAGTGAGCCCCAATGGGCTTGCAAATTTGACACATGGAGGGTGGGGACACTTAGGGACCAGCCTGACTGAGCATTTACTGGACTGGGGTGGGAGATGCACCCAATCGTGAAAGTTACACAGTTAACATGCTGGCAGCTGGGCTGGAAACCGGACATCACAAGCTTACCCAGCGTTGAGTTACTTCTGTAGTGGTTGTGTTCTAATCAGGGGCAGGAGGCCTTGAGCACAGCTCTGGTATCAGAGCACATGTCCCAGTAGGGAAGGGGAGACGCAAAACAAAAACAGGCTTCTAGGCCCTTGTACAGCTAAGAGCAACTCCGAGTGCAAAGGAGCATTGCATGCAGGAGAGCTTGGGGAAAAACCACACCAGACACTGAGTCCTACAGGCTGATACAGAAGAGACTGGGGGTGGGTGGGGAGGGAAGAGAACGCGTGTATCCATCACCACTAGTGAGGTCCACGGCAAAGTCCTCTCCAGGTATCCTGCCCCTCCCCCTTTCATGCTGCTGGTGCTAGGATTTCTAGCAGGGTTGTGGCCCTTGATCATGCTCAGGAGCTCTGGCTCTTTCATATTTCAATTCAGAAGCCCCAGCCACACCCCAGTATAACTAATATATCACATCCACCAGTCCCAGAGCTTGGACAGAGGTGGGTGAGCACTGTTACCCACTTTATAGAGAGAGAGACACACACACACAGAGGTTGTCAGGTGCTGACTGCGGGTTTCTGGGTCCCTGAGATGTAGGCGAAGAACTGCCTAGCTGTATTGCAGTTGAAAGCCATGCTAGCAGGGTCAGCATAGTATTGCTGGCAGGCTTCTAGCATCTTTTCCAGCCACTGCTGGGGTTTTTTTTTTCCTGGCCAATTCATAATAATCACACTACAGAGGCCAGTCAGTCCATGGCCCAGCTCTCACAGAGTAACAGTGCTTGAAATCTGCTCATAACAAAGTCCTCCAAACAGCTGTTGCTAGGAGGCTCTCCCTGGTGCCTGGACAAGGCCTTCAGTCTGCACCGAGCTATGATGGCTAAGAGTGAAGGCACAAGCCAATCTCTCTGAAGAGCTCACACTCACCAGCAGCTTCAGCATTTCCTTAGTATCTGGGTCAACTTCAATGATCTCCTGGTCAAGGGCAGAGACCTGCAGAGGGAAAGGAACACGGATGCACTTTGTTAAACATCACTCACACACACAGAGCTCTGGGAGTCCAGCGTTAGTCAGACCCCACTCAGAGATGGTCAGAAGCTGGAGTGGGTGCCTACAGACAAAGCTTGCGAGTCCCCAACCAGTCCAGGGAGTCCAAGCTCCAGTACAGTCCAAGCTCACATAGCGCCGACCCCTTGAGTCCAGTTGCTAAACTCACATCACCAAATGGGAATGAAGGGTTTGAGAAGCCCTGAGCTAAGACAAATGCTTCTCATTCACAAACAGCTGCAGGGACAAAGCCTCCACCACAGCTCATTGCCCTCACCTTCCACTCGCCCCATAAATACTGTGGGGAGAGCTGCAAAGTGCACCAAGAATCCTGCCATACAATGCTGCAAGGGAGCAGAGCAGGAGCTCTCAGCAGGGACAGTCTCTTCTGCCTTCAGTTGTCTTCCCTAAAGCATATGGGACCGTCGCAACTCCAGCTGTGCCTAGGATACTGCCCTCACAATTGGTTAAATTTACTGTTTTAGTTCAGAAAGACAGCACCCACTTTAGTCACGTTTCTCAATTGTTACCAGAATTTCATGATACTGTTGAGCAGTCTCATTTAAAGTACTCCTCTGAGCTGAGAGAGACAAGTGCCACGCTTCATTACCACCCTTGTGACAGCACCACAAACTCAGACAATGATGAGCCCAGGCTATATTTCAACCACCGCCACCAGGCTATGCTCTGCCCTTCACAGTTTGCCATTTGAAGCCAATGGGACTGACGTGCCTAAGTCACTGGAGGGTGTGATTTTTTCCAAAAGCCCCCAGGTGCCTAGACGTGAATGAGCTCAGTAGCCAAGCTTTTGGACTGCGTGCATAACAGGTATTGGGAAGCTTTTCAGTGTATCAACAGGCTAAATAACTTCTCACTGTTAACACTGAAGTGAGTCTGTTTTTGAAGTGACAACAGGGTGAATCCCTCTAACTGCCCTGTTCAGTCCACACCCCCTGAAGCTCTGATACTGGCCACTGCTGGGTACTGGAGGAAGTTACGTTCTTACATAAGAGAAATGTTAAATAAAAATACAGTTTCAGCCCCCAGTGCTGCAGACACTTATGTACATGTTTGACCTTCCACGAATGGTCCCACTGAGGTTAGTGAGTTAAATTACAGACCAAGGCTTTCATTTTCAATATTTTGGTTTTTTGCCTGTGGCAGTTTTGGAAAATCCCAGTAAGTTACCCCACCAGTAGTGTCACTTCAAAAGACCACCACAGCATGGACGTTTTATAACTAAACGCATTTTAAATTAAATTGGCAATAAATAGTAGAAATTTCCAAGTCTGAACCGGATTTAACTCTCTCCCTCCAGAGCTCACCCACCTTGGATCCGTTGCAAACATCGCTTACACTACAAGCTTTACATGTCCTGTTGTAACTGTTGGATCTTGCCCTTGTGGCACGATCACAACATATATGAACCTTGATCATCTCCAAGTTCTAACAGCACCCCTACGGCCCAAGGAAGCAGGAGACATAGTACAGTGAGCCAAGACGACTCTCTTTTGCTCCAGAGTTCAAGCATTTATCACTGACTATCCAAAACCCCTAATGCCGGAGTCAGCCAACGATTTGCCATGAGTTCCTGTACATGCTTCTTATTTAAGGGCTCTCGGTAAATAGCTATTTTTCATCTGCCATGAAATGACACTTGCAGGCATTTGTCTGATAAATGGAGCAAGAGATCTGCCTAGTTTTACTGTAGCTTTTGCAAGAGGTTCTGCCAGAAGCCTATTTTAGAGTTTCACAGTGACTCACAATCAATCTCTCTTGCCTGCAACATGAGTACAAAGGAGTTATATCCCCGCTCAGTGACACTATGGGAAGACAGCTACATCAGGGCTCTCCTCGTTCAGCTGATACCAGCAAGTCCTGCCCTTGAAGCGCAGATACTAACAGGTCACTAGCTGCATTATTCTAGCAGTCGGACATTTTGTGCACAGAGAATCAAAGGAAGGTGGGGGCGTGATCTCTCCCTCATCTACCTACTGCAGGGTACGTACACCTTCCTCTGGGGCTGGCCACTGCCAGAGACAGGGCACTGGGAGAGATGGAGCTGGGGTTCACTATGGCTATCCCTATGTTCCTAGCATGCCAAATTCTCAGAGCTGGCTAGAACTTTTGTGAGAGGGCAGACACCTCACAGGTAGACATGAGGGGGACGGGATTGACAGTGACAGCAGGGGACTGGACTCAGTGACCCTGAGGCCCCTTCCAGTCCTATGATTGGGACACATGGGTGGTAGCTGTGAGGGAGCCAGCCTAACACACACTATCAGGAGGGAGGCAAGAGCAGGCACAGTCCTCCTGCATTTACATCAGGTGCTACCCAGCCAGCACATCATGGACTGGATATAAGCAGTGATTCCCCACTTCCAGGGAAAGATGAGATCTGCAAGCCAGGTATCAAGAAGGGAATAACCCCAGCCCACTCCATGACATCAAAGCTCCCATTTCACTCACTGGCGGCACACTTGTTTTTCATAAGATTTCTAGTGACAACTGAACTCTACACTCAGAATCTGCCACAGAACCAAACCTGTGGTCACAATGGAGTGCCAACCTTTGGGTGAACTGCACACTGAAGACAGGGCCTGAAGCTGGCTTGTTGCTGTTTGTCACTTCATAGTCCATAGTGCTGCAAAAATAATTTTGCTGGAAGCCAATTTGAGGTCACCTACCACACCCACCACATTGGACTGGAGATGAGGGTAAGAAGTAGTGTCTGAAAGTTACAGGGTTTGGTAGGGATAGGAACGAGCCCCCCAAACACGGGAAAAAACTTTCACAAGCTCCTCTCCCTGCACTATCAATGACCCGGTCACAGGCAAGACCAGAGTCACTTTCGAATGCAGGTTCAGAATGAGAGCCCTTTAAATCCAGCTGGGGAGCGGAAGGGGGTTGGGGGAGATGCTAGTCAGGCCATCAGATTTCTGGGTGAACTGAACTGAAGCAATGACAAGTGAGCAACAACTTTCTCTTCCGCTGCCCGTCCAAGTGAGAGTTCAGGAAAGCCCAGTCCCATTCTGGACCCTCCACAGATAAGCGCAGGAGGTTGTAGTTCTCTTGAATTTCAATGAGATTCAAAACATACATCACAGCTTTCACACCACTTTACACCAAGGGAGTTATTTCTCCATATTTCACAGATCCGAAAATGGAGGCAGAGATTATTTGCTCCACAACACAAATCAGCAGTACAGCTGAGATTAGAGAGCAGGAGCTCCTGGCTCCCTATGTCCCTGGGGATTTTTCACGACAAGTCATCAGTCTGTCACCCTGGATTCTTCTCATAAATCCCAGCTCTGTGCAGCTAACTTGGGCTATCCGGTCATGGTCCCATTTCTCAGGAAAGGAGAGATCTCATGGTTGCTGGTGTGATAAGTAGAATGGAAGCCCCTTTGATAGCCATGCAGAAGCTGGATACCAGCATGGCAGGATGAGCCACTCTGCCTGGCAAAAGAGGCCTGAGGTGCACCCAAGTGTGGCCAGAAATCTTACCTCAGGGACATAGTTATCCCTCCTCTCTCTCTCCTCTTCCTGCAGTTTGATGGAGATACCTCTGACAGGCCCCCTCTGAATACGCTTCATCAGATGGGTGACATACCTGCAGGGAGAATCCAGAAACTAGTCAATTGGCACCCCATTTTCTTATATATCTCACACTGACAACAGCTTTAACCCACCCAGAGGAAGCCCTAGCTTTACATCTCTGCTCTCCGTAATATTGGAAGAGGTGGGTCAGTAGAGACCTTGTATCTGTCTCACAGTTAAACGCCCACAGCTGCTCAAATCTACCCAGCCATTTCACAGCCAGAGACCATATTAACTTTGCAGCAGAAGGCCTTCCTGTCCTGCCTCCTGGGAGAGGAAGGGAGCAAAAAGACCAGCAGCAATGTCTGAAAGTTACAGGGTTTGGTAGGAATGAGGATGAGCCCTCCAAACACGGGAAAAGCTTTCACAAGTTCCTCTCCCTGCACTATCAATGACCAGGTCACTTTCGAATGCAGGTTTCAAAGCAAGTAAGCCAAACACACAATTTCTCCTAGTTCAGTGACTGAAGCCTTGGGAGGCTGGTTATAAACAACCCAACTTAGACACCAGGGTATTTCCTTCAAGCTCTAATTCAATGCAGCTGCAAATGCACACACGAGGCTGGCAGAGGCAAGTCAAACAGCAACAGGCCTCAGGACCCACCTGATTTCAGTATACCTCTCTTCCAGGGGTACACAAGAGGATAACTTGACACTTCTGACTTTGCCTGCTGGAGAACTACAGCTCTGTTAATCAGCAAGCCTCTCTCTACCTCCCCCCATAAAAAGTCAGGTGGCACAGGGATCCTGAGCCTGCAGCAATGCAAGTGGCGAACGCTAATCGCAGCATGACGTAAAAACTCACCCACTCCCATACTGGATTTGCCCCAAGGAAAACAAATACAACAAGCTCTGACCAAAAAGGCAGTGAAACAGAGTTCATAAGAGATTAAAATGTGGAAGTACATCTTAGCACTTCCAGGACACCAAGTAATTCAGGGCCAGATCCCCTGAGGTATTTAGGCTGTTTAAATCAATGAGAGTTAGGCACCTAAATACCTCTGAGGATCTAGGCCTCAGTGTCTAGGGAAGTCTGACCAGCTAACCTGACAGCTGCCTGCTAGAGGAGTCCAGGAAAAACAATGGACAAGCGGAGAAAAAGATTTCCATGCAACTCTGCATATTTGTTAGCTGAGATACACAGAGCTTGAGCCAAGACTTGTTAAAATCTTTTAAAACAAAACAGTAATGAAACAGCTACGCCAAAAGGAAATGACACTCAGTGCTACTAGAGTAGAGAAATAAAGAGATTTTAGTCTATCAGAAAAAGAGTTTGAACATAAGGAAGATTCTATGAGCACACTTCCATTAAGCAGGGATTGAGTTGTAATTAGTAAGTATAGGTAAGAATCAATTTCTCCTGACACCCAAAAGCCAACGGAAAAATTATCCAGAAGTTAAATGTTTTTAAGATGCTGGGTAAGGACTAAAGAGCATATGTTACTTAATCTACCATATAGATTAAGTAAGGCAGTACTCCATGATGCTTAAACATTCTAGAGATTGTATTTCTAAAGATATGATTGATCTAGTGATATTACAAACAATTTTCAGATCCCTGCCAGTGTAAAAATTTAAGTTGACTTAACCAGGTGGACATTACCCTTCAAAATTCACAAAAATCTACAAAAACCAACGAGGAGTCCAGTGGCACCTTAACAGATTGGCACATGATATTTATGCCTGTATCTGTAATTTTCACTCCATGCCTCTGAAAAAGTGGGTTTTGCACCCACCAAAGCTTATACTCAAATAAATCGGTTAGTCTTTAAGGGCTGCCACCGGACTCCTCATTGTTTTTGTGGATACAGACTAACACGGCTACCCCTCTGATATATTAAAAATCAATGCCTTCCTAGCTCACTAGGGATGTTTCAGCACTCCATAAGCCTTAATCCACAGCTCCAGTGTCAGAGCAAGATGCATTTACTGAGGTTATCGAAACGTACTTAGATTAATACCTTTGTAACAGAATGAGTTTCTTCTCACCACCCCAGAGCTAGGATGTGTAAAACTAAACCCTCATATAAGAGTACAGTAAATCCCAGGGCTGCCTTACCCAGCTATTTTGTTGCGCAGTTTCTTGCTAGGGATGATGGCAATCTCTTCACACACCCGTTTGTTCGTGTGGAAGTCATTCCCTAGCCGGGTATAGTACTTTTCAATGATGACCCGGGCCGCCTTTTTCACGGTCTTTGTTCGCACACGTCCCTAGAAAAGATTTGAAGAACAAGTCACCACAGTGTGAAATAGCAAAATCTACCCATCTATTTCTGCTTCCAGCTCAAAGTGTTCCTGGTGAGCTCCTAAAGAGCCACTAAGGTGGCATTAATCCTGTACCCTGTAACGGGGGGCAACTTTCCTTCAGAAAACTAAATCCATAAGCCTGACACATGGAGTTCATTACATCCAAGCCTGTAGACAGGAGGCTAACATGACCCTTAGCCTGGCCTAATACGCAGAAAACTGCAGTGATGTGTCTAACTACCCAGAAGACAAGGAACCCCAGGCCTCAGAAGCGGTGGCTTCTCTACTCACCCTCAAGCCCCCAACCTTCTTGTGCAGGCAGTAATGCTGAGGGGTATTTTTAGAGGCCCTGCCCCCATACCCATACTCTGCATGGGTAAAACTGCCTCATTACGGGGAGCCAATACTTCTCCGTAAACTACTGCTCGCAGGGTCTCAGCCCGCAGTGAGACCCAGGGAGGCAGACAGGCCTACACCAGGGATCCTCACACCGCAGCGGGCCTGCTCTGGGCGCAAACTCCGCGCAGCGCCCCGAGATACCACGGCTCGCTCCTCCCCCCAACCCCTCCGACGGGACCCCAGCAGGGCCCAGGCCTAACACGGGCGAGCGCGGATCCCGCACCCCTGCAGCCGGGCTGGGTGAGCCCAAAGCCCCGGGCCGCCCCGGGATCGCCGAGCCCAGGCACCGCCTGCCCCCCTCACAGCTCCCCGGGCCTGGCCCGTAGCGGCCCCGTGCGGCTCCCCAGCCGGCCCGCCCGAGGTTCCCCGCCCTGCCCCACGGGCCTCGCCCCGTCCCCCGGCGGCGGCAGCAGCCCCCAGCGCGGCCCCAGCCCCGGCAGCCCCAGCAGCCCCGGCCCGGGGCAGATGGCGCCGGATTAAGGAGCGAGAACGAGCCAGGCCCGGTACCCACCATATTGGCAGCGGCCGGTGAAGAGGGCAAAGGATGCCGGGAAAAGAGCTATAACGCGGGCGCGGCTAGAAGGGCGCTGTGAGTCCGGGGAGAGCGCGGGCCGGCTGCCCACAGCGCCACCCGGCGGCTAGGTGGATGCACAGCAGAGACTGTGAGCAGGCCACGGCGCCACCGCGTGGCCAGATGGCGGAAGTGTCGCCGCCCTAAGCCCAGAAGTAACGCCTGGGGGTGCTGCAGGCAGAGTTAGGGGCTCTGCCCAGCTGTGAACAGCGACCCCCAGCGCCAGGTGAGCTGGGGACAGGTTTGTAACCATAGTAACTGTCCCCCAGGGAGGGCTGGCAGAGCTGTCCTGCCCCTGCAGCCGGATTATGGCTTGGCGGCACAGTAGCACCAGCATGCTCGCCCCATGGAAAAGCCAGCGCCCCCCACTCCAGTACCTGTGTTGTGATCGGAGTTTGTCTTTAAGAACCAGCCCTGGAGCCTCAGCATTCACTTTAGCCCATTACCGTGCACATGGGTGCAGAGAACAGCTAGAGAACAGGGCCCCTAGTGGGTCAGATGCCTGTGAAAAGCCCCCTGGTCATTACTCCCTACCAGCAGGAGTTGCTGGGGCCTGGCTCAGGTGGTGTGTGGCTGTCAGGAAAACATTCCTAGACATTGCCCCCGCAGACACCACTTTTTGGTCAGAGCGGCCTGGCGTCACCCCGGCACAACCACGCCCCAGCCTTCCTGCACCAGGCACCATGGGGTGGGGCGGGGCATGTGTGAATTGGGATGATAAGGGGGAGGGAAACCTTCCCCAGTTCCACATCTGAACACCCCTCGCGCCCATGTAGTCACTCCGGGGGGGCAGGAGCAGCTGCCATTTCTGTTGCTGAGCTTCTCCCACCTGCAAAGTCTCCCTGGGGCTCGCTCCAGCCCCGCCAGTGCAGTGGCAGCAGGAACCGTTACAGGCACTAGGTTGGGTTCTGAGAGTGGTTAGATTTCAGCCATGCCGTTCCAGTCTCCTGTTAGGTCCTCCCCACCTCTGGTGTAGATCTGAGCCGTAGGGGTGAGCTCCCAGCCATTCAGCCCCTGACAACACCCCATCGCTCAGCCTTACCACCCCCTTCACATGCCTTGGAGCAAGGTGAGCTCTCCCTGGTCTTCCTCTGATGGGCAGCCTCTTCTTCAAGGAACCTTCCCATAAAGAGCTTGGGCGGGGCTTAGACAGAGCCAGGACTAGAGGCCAACTCTGGTCTTTTAATGAAAAGGTTTAATTGATTTCATAATCGAATACACAGTGTAAAGCCAGCCCTGAGAGCCCCTGGGCCACAGGCAGCCCTGGCCTTGGGCAGCGTCTTTGAGAGCCACCAGTATCCACCAGGGCCTGGCATAGCTCCAGCTGGTCACTGCAGGCAGGTCTGGGCATGAGGAAGTGTAGAAAGCAGCCCCTAGCCCATGATGAGCGCAAAGGTCCCAGGAAGGGCTGAGGCATTGCCTGGCGAAGGGGTGTCAGCAAAGGAATGGTTATGGTGCACTGGACTGTCAGATTGACTTGGTGTCAAGGCTCTCTCCCAGCTTTTGTAGCCTCGCTGGACCTCACCCCCAGGCACATGAGAAATTCCTTCTGGCTCCAGGACTTTTGCATTAAAGCAACTTCTGCGGAGCCAGAGAAGAGAGGAACACAAGTTAACTAATGAACGGAGACACCAGGTGTCCCAGGGATATTGGAACCCAGAGCAAGCACTTGCATTTCCCGCCTCTCCAGTAGGAGGAACAGGGGAGGGGGGACACTCAAGAGAGAGGGGACAGTCACAATGAGCAGCCACAGGCCCACAGGTTTCCCATTCCCTACCATGCTCCCAACCCTTGTGTTCTGGGGGCCCATGCTGCCCTTCCAAGGCTGGAAGAGTGCTGTCTTGGCCAGCAGGGAAGGGCTTGAACCCAGCTGGGAATCTTCCTGTCGCTCTACTCCTTCCCCTGGAGGAGAATGGGATCAGCATTGTGTCTTGGTACTGTACCTGGCCCTATGCAGCTCACTACACTCACCAGCCCCTGCTCTGCAGCCTGCAGAATGCAACGCCCAGGCTCTTGCTTCCGCCTCATGGCACGGCCGGTTCATTGCTCCTGGAGACACACCTCATGCACCCGAGCCTTCCGGCCAGCAACATTCAGGTACCCGGTTAGGGACCACAGCTGGGCCAAGAAGGCGAAGGGATTAGTTTACCTGGATGGCTCCGTGGCAGATGCCACAAGGGGTTTCAGCCTCCACTCCTCACTCACCCCCATCCTCAAAGAGCCACCAGTTCAAAGCACCAAGACAACGGGGCACAAAACCAATGCCTGCTGGTGGCTGAGCTAGTGCCCTGGAAATAAAGTCAGATACCAGCCCTGGCAGGCACTCCAGGTAACACCCACTGCACTCTCCTCCCACCAGGGGAATTGGTTGCTATGGGAGGGAATGCTACAGGGCAACGGAGGGAAGTACTCAGTTCCAGACAGGGTCCCAGGGGAAGCCCTGAGTGCCCAGTGACCCCTGCACCACAAAGATATGGGCATTGGACTGTGGGGCAGTGAGCGCCGAGGCCTGGGCCAAGGGCACAGAGCACCCCTAGGACACTTTAGCTGGGAGAGGGGAACTGCTCAGTGGCTCCCTGGGTGAGCGGTTCAGGGAGGGCTCCAGGCTCTGCTGAGACCTTCTGGAGCAGAGATGAAGGCTCCTGCCCCACTCCATGGGAAGAGGTGGGGTCACCTTTCAGAGTCTCAAGATGGAACGGGTGGGGTCCGCTCAGCCTCCCTTGGATGGCAGTCAGGGATCCTCTGCACCCGCCTGGCTGGCAGTCAGGGATCCTCTGCACCCGCCTGGCTGGGAGAGCCAGACTCTGCCCCATTTCCCTGGACAAGGGCACCAGGGCCTTCTGTCTGCACTTCCAGAGCCACAAGGAGCTGCTGGGTTTCCCAGCTGCAGCCTGATGTTTCACAACAGGCTTGAGGGGCCATGGCCCACCAGCCAATGAGCCCCCGGTGCTCCTGTCTGCGACAGCCCCAGCTGACCTGGCCAGTCCTCTTGGTGACAGCACAGCTGCTGTGGTGGTTTGTTGGGCTGAGGCTCCAGTGCCCTGAGGTGCCCCGCTGGCTGGGACAGTGCCTTCACACCGAGCTGATCGCTGAGGACAAGGTCTCCACAGCTGTCCCAGCCTCTGGCGAGGAGACGGCCCCACATCTCCAGGAGCCCCTCGGTGTGGCATGGCTGCTCCTCTTGCCATCCTCAGGGGCACAGTGTTTGCCCTCCGCCTCTCCTCGTGTCCCAAAGAGGGGAACCCGCTGCTCAGAGCTTCCTGCCTCTGTTCCTTGGGCACTGTCTGGGGAGAGCATGCAGAAAGCCCAGTCCTACCCTGCTCAGCCAGTACAGGCCTGCCACAGGCTTGGGTCTAGGGTTGCCATGTGTCCAGTTTTCGACAGGAACGCCCGGCCAAAAAGGGACCCTGGCAGCTCTGGTCAGCGCGGCTGACTGGGCCATTAGAAGTCCAGTTGGTGGCACAGTGGGGCTAAGGCAGGCTTCCTCTGCCGGCCGTAGCTCTGCATGGCTCCTGGAAGGAGCAGCATGTTCCCCCTCTGGCTCCTATATGTTGGGGCAGCCAGGGGGCTCTGCACGCTGCCCTTTCCCCAAACACTGGCTCTGCAGCTCCCAATGACCGGGAACTGTGGCCAATGGGAGCTGTAGGGGCAGCGCCTGCGGATGGGGCAGCATGCAGAGCTGCCTGGCCGTGCCTCTGTGTAGGAGCCGGAGAGGGAACATGCTACTGCTTCCGGGAGCTGCTTGAGGTAAGCGCCACCCACAGCCTGCACCCTGACTCCCTCCCACGCCCCAACCCACAGCCCTGATCCTTCTCCCAGCCTCTGAACCTCTCAATCCCAGCCCAGAGCACCCTCCTGCACCCCAAACCCCTCATCCCCAGCCCCGCCCCAGGGCCTGCACCCCCAGCCGGAGTCCTCACTCTCCCTGCACCCCATCCCACCTTCCCCAGCTTGGAGCACACTCCTGCACCCTGAACTCCCCATTTCTGGCCCCACACTGAAGTCTGCACCCCCAGCCTAGAGCCCATACCCTCTCCCACACCCCAACCCTCTGAGCCAGCTTGGTGAAAATGAGTGAGTGAGTGAGGTGGGGAGAGTGAGCGACGGAGGGAGGGGGGGATGGAGTGAACAAGGGGCGGGGCCTCGGAGAAGGGGTGGGGTAGGGGCAGGGTCTCAGAGAAGGGGCAGGGCAGCGGGCGGGGCAAGGGTGTTTGGTTTTGTGCAAGTAGAAAGTTGGCAACCCTACTTGGGTCTCTCAGCCAAGGGGGGCCAGGTTCTGTGAACCTCTTCCACTATTCTGGGGGGGTGAGTCTTTGAGCCCCCCCCTCCTGCCATTCAAACCACAGGGCAAAATCCTGGCTTTGTTGAAGTCAAAGACACAACTCCCCTGGGCCTCTTTCCCGGGAGATGTAATTAAAAACTAACCATCCTGCCCTTCAAAGCCTGCTACCAGGCAGCACAGCCTAGAGCACCCCCTAAGGCTGGCCCGGCACAAGTGGGGTGCTTCCCTCACTGGAGCATCTGGACCCCTGATTTCAATCAAGGAAACCTTAGGTTCTGCTGACCAGCTGGGACTCCCAGAGATGTGCAAGGACTGCTGTGACACAGGGGCCTCTCAGTGCCAGAGGGTGCAGGGTTACAGGGATGCCCTGGGCCTGGTAGCCTCATACCTGTTTGCCAAAGAGTGTCAGGTCTCTGCTGCAAGCCTGGGTCACGTTGGGCCTCACAATCACTGAGAGACGCACGTTTGGGTAATGTGTATGGTAATTATGTAGCTATACTGGGGATCATGTTCTTAACACTGTGACATGGGCTGGGCACCAGCAAGTGTTTAACAAGTTTCTTTCAGGCAGGAGACGGTTCTCTACCTGCCTGGGTGTGTGTAGATTGAGTACGCTGTCTATTCCTCAATGGAGGCTGTGACATTCTGTACCTTGGGGGCAGGGCCAGTGCAAGGATGTTTCGCGCCCTAGGTGAAACTTCCACCTTGCACCTGCCCCCCCCCAGCCCTGCGGCAGCTCCCCCTCACCCCCACCCTGAGGTGCCCCCCCTGCGGCAGCTCTGTGCCCCCCCCGTGGCAGCTCCCTGCCGCCCCCTCCCTCCCCTCAGCCCGGGGAGCCGTGCGGCAACTCCCCGCTGCCCCCTCCCTCGGCCCAGGGAGCTGTGTGCGACAGCTCCCCGTCCCAGTTCACCTCTGCTCCGCCTCCTGCCCGAGCACGCCGCCGCTTCTCCCGCCTCCCAGGCTTGCGGCGTCAATCAGCTGTTTGGCGCACAAGCCTGGGAGGGAGAGAAGCAGTGTGGGGCGGTGCTCAGGGGAGGAGGTGGAGCAGAGGTGAGCTGGGGCGGGGAGCGATTCCCCTGTGCGCCCCCCCGCTACTTGCTGCAGGCGGCCCTCCCCGCGCCCCTTTGCCCCAGCTTACCTCCGCTCCACCACCTCCCCAGAGTGCGCTTTTGGCCGCCCCCAACCACTTGGCGCCCTAGGTGAGTGCCTAGTTCACCTAGTGGTTGCACCAGCCCTGCTTGGGGGAGCGCCCTGTAACCCCCATATTCCCCATTTATATATGATTGTGATCCTGCATATAAAGCATGCCTTGTAAGGTAACAGGGGAAAGGTTATGATCTGCTGAAAGTCATTTCTCTATCCATATATGTGTATCATTAATGCATATGTAGTTATGAGAATTGTGTTGTATGGTTGTCACTAAAACATGCTGTAAGTTGGGGAATCAGCCAGATATTAGCTCCCCAGAGACAACAGCAAGGAAAGTAACCAACACCCGGGTGGGGTGTCAAACAACCCATCCACAACCATTGTCCAGCAAGGGAGCTACAATTCAATGACTCACCAGCATGAGGCTACACCAGGGGAATTGCTCAACCTTGCCTAGAGACTCAGCAATGTACCCAGACATGCCTGGACTTGTGTCCTCCAAGCACATGGACTGAGGGTATAAAGCTGAACCCAGGGGGCCCATGCTTGGCCTTTCTCCTTCAATCACCTACGCTGCAAGCAACAAGGACACTCTGAAGATGCCAACTGAGGGGACTGGCCCAGATTTCAAGGGTGAAGTCTGTATACTATGAACTGCAATATCCAGTGGGGTGAGAAAAACTGCTTAATCTAGATGTTGCTCAGTCTAATAGGGTTGAGAGTTAAGACTGCGTGCTTATATTTTATTTCTTTTGGTAACTACCTCTGACTCTTTGCCTATCACTTAATATCACTTAAACTCTATCTTTTGTAGTCAATAAATTTGTTTTACTGTTTATTTTTACCAGTGAGTTTGTATGAAGTGTGTAGCAAATCTGCTCAGGTTTTGCAAAGGCTGGTGTATATCCACTTTCCATTGATGAACTGGTGAACCAATTAAAAATCTGCACTGCCTATCTTGAGCAGTGCAAGACAATATATTCCTGGGGTACAGTACTGGGAGCTGGGGGGATTTGGCTCTGGTGCCTTTCTCTGTGTGATTCATTAGTTGCTCTGGAAGCATTCATGTAATCTAGCTGGGTGTGGGGACTCCACATGTGTTTGTGCTGAGTGATAGCAGCACTTGGAGGGGTTTGCTGCTGGTCACTAGCAAGGCGTTGTGAGAGACAGCCCAGGCTGGAGAGAATTAAGGGGGCACAGCGGTCCCACAGTCCCAGGCTGCATCCCAGGGATCCCCTCAGAGATGCCTAGCTAGAATCTGAGCAAAAGGTCAATCATGTGACTGCAAAGTCTTCCAGGGGAAAACCGAGCAGTGGGGAGTCATCTTGTTTACAAGTAAAGACAATGGGGAACTGTAAATGGGGGTGCAGAGGCACCCCAGGGTTCCAAGCTGCCAGCTGGCTTGTCTTACGAATGGAGGGGCATAGCCAGTCTGGCTGTTTGATGTTGGAGAGCCGCTTTGGGTGAGCTAACCTTTACGGGACAGGGAACGTCCGGATAGTTCAGTTTAGGCTTTGAAAGCGTGCTATGATTTATTTCATGTGTAACCATTTGGTGCCATTAAATCGCCTTGCTTCTTCTCGAGTCTCTGCTCTCTGTTAAATGATCCTCTTTTGTTTTGACTAAAACGTATCCACGTGCTGTGAGCGGGGAGCCGGCGGTGTAACTTGCAAGCTGGTGTGCACAGTTCCTTAGGGGCAGCGGAGTTGTGAATTCTGTCAGCGCCCAGTGGGACGGGCCTGGGTGCTCCAGGGCATGTGTGGGGCTGGGCTGACACAAAGTGAGGTGTCCTTACAGAGAAGGGAATTGACCTTTGGGACAGAGGCCCTAGGGCCAGGGTGGGTTCCTCATCACTTGAGATCTCTAAGTCAAGTCTGGGTGTCTTTCCAGAGAATCTCCTATGGGCTCCTGGGGGAGGCTCTCTGGCCTGCACTATGCAGGAGGCCAGACTAGGTCACGATGGGCCTGTCTGATCTGAAATCTACAAGTTGCTGCCCCATCCGTCCCCGGCCCCGGAGTTCCCAGGGGCTGCGTTTCCAGCTGAGCACGCGGGGCTCCAGCTGGAGCCAATGGGAGTTGTGGGTGCTCCCCACCTCGGAGGATCCAGCCCATCTGTGCCTGTGTGTCTCTAGCCCCACCCGACCCCAGCGGAGTGCGTACAACCCAGCTTGGACTGGGAGCGGGTACTCCCGGTGGTGGGCATGCTAACGAGCAGCCTCGAACCAGGGCTCCCCCTCTCTAGGACAGGAGAGGGGTGCTGAGATGGGGAGCGCTGGGAGTGTGGGGATGAGTCAGGGAAGGAAAGCGGGGGGCCAGAGGCACTGTTCCCTCTAAGCTGTGCGCGTGTGCACACACACACAGATCCTAAACCCCGCGCACACGGCGAAACACCACATGCACAAAAATTTGCACAGAAGAATTTTTTTGCACACACGGCCTGTCAAAAATTTGCACAGAAGAAATTTTTTGCCCACACGGCCTGTCAAAAATTAGAGGGAACATTGGCCAGAGGGGAGCACGGCTGGGGAGGGGAGGGAAGGGAATGTGGGAACCACAGAGAGGGAGCAAGCGGGAGGGCAGAGCAGACGATGTCGGGGGGGTAAGCAGCAATGGTTCTAAAGATCTCCCTGCCCTCCCAGCCCAGCAGCGACTCAGTTGCTGACCAGCCCAGGCTGCCCCAGGGGCTGGCGTGAGGCAGCAGCAACCCCTCCCCCCCCCGGCCTCCCTGGCAGCCAGTTACCTGGGGGGCCCGCAAGCTGCGGGGGTAGCGGGCGATGCCGTTGCGGATGAGCTCCACCCTCTCCCAGTGGCGCTCCCAGGGCTCCCGGGCGTGCTCTGACTGCTGCTGCCTCAGCTGCCCTGCGAGCCGCTGGTTCTCCACCCCGATCTGCGCCAGCTCCCAGCGACGCCTCTCACTGCTCAGGCTGGGGGCAGAGAACAAGCGGAGGGGCTGTGGTGCCCCTTTAACCTCCCCTCCTGGGCCCAGCCCTCTCTGCAGGCTCCCCCACCTCTAGGTCCCTCCCCGATGCTACTGGGCCAGCAGCAGCTCTTACTCAATAGCCTCAGGTCCAGCATTCTCCCTGATGTGGGGTCCCCCTGCCCTTGCCTTTTGCTGGGCAGAGACAAGCAGGGGGGCCAGCCCAATCAATCCACCAGATGCCAGCTGGGGCCTATAGGCCCCATCTCCCACCCCCAGTTTCTCCAGGCCCTCCCTCAGCTCCAGCAAGCCCAGCTGGGGCAAATGGAGCTCTGTCCATCCCACACAGACTTCCCCAGCCCCGCCCATCCTCCATCATCCTGCTCAGCACCTGGGAGCCCTGTGGGATGGGGCCAGGCACTGCACCCCACTCTCCAGCCATGGCCCATCAGACAGCTGGGAGCCAGGGGGTGGAGTGTGGCCAGTGGGTGGCTCAAGTGGTGGAACTCCCTGCTGCAGGGAATCAGACCAATCCCAGAAGTTTCCACTTCTTCACACAACCCTTCCCAAGCAGCCAGGGAAGAAGCCTGGGACAGGGACAGAGGAGGAGGATGGGGGAGAGAGAAGCAAGGGGTGGTTTGGACCTTTCATGGCCAATTCTAGGGCCAATTGTGGTTTTGTATCTGGTGGATGTTAGAAATGCAGTGGAGTCTGGGCAGACAGCAGGACAGGCACTACTGTGGCTGGCCTGAGCAGCACTAAGATGTTGAAGGGTCTCCTGTAGGGAATGGCAGGGGGAAGCTGGGGAGAGGGTGGATGGGGCATATGGGGCAGAGTGATGGGATCCCTCTGCATTCAGCGCTCGCTGCAGGGATGCCTGAATGTTCTGCCCAGCTTGCTCCTTTCTGCCCCCCTCCAGAGCAGCAATGAGTCTGAGTCACACCAGAGCCTGGCTGTGGATGACAAATCCCGGAACCACATGGGGGTCCCAGCTTGGGGTACTGGCTCGGGTCCATCTCTCCCCACGCGCTGCTGCTGAGGAGACAACTGGACAGACCTGTCTGTTGGGCTCACACAGCCTAGGCCCCAGAGAGGCTCGGAGCGGGCGGGACTTGCACCCTCCAGCACTTCAGCCGTAGCTCCAGCCGATCTAGTTTTAAGTGTCCCAGCCCACGGGGCTACCCCAGGCCCTTTGGAGCATGTCCTCAGGCTCTGAGCTGCTCTCACGGGCTGTCCCCTGCTCTGCCCCAGATTTCCTGGCTGACTCGGGACCCCTGTTGCAGGGACTGAAATATCCAGACACATTTGAGCAAGTTACAGGGCGAGGGGGCGTGGCCCACTATGGGGCTAGTTGGCACCTGCTGCCAGTCCTGGCTCATGGGCCGCTTCCTTGTCCAAACAGACCCAGGGGAGGGGCTGAGATGATGTTACTGGGTGGGGGAACTGGCTGGCTCCTCTCCACTCAGGGGTCCCTTTGTCCCTCGGATCCTGCCCCCCCAGCCATTCCCAGCTCTTAATGCCGGCCCCATGCCCCGCCAGCGGCACAGACCTGCGTACACTGTAGCTGTTCCAGTTGTCCAGTCGCCCCCTGGACTGCGCAATGGCGACCAGCCTGGCCGAGTGAATGCGGTCGTCTCTTTCTCTAACGGCCTGGCGCTCTCTGTCTAGCTGGAGGGGGACAAAATCCAGAGTGTAGAGCCACCCCCTCCTCGAGGCCACTAACAGATCATGTCATCAATCAGTCACCCCGTCAGCTCTTCCTGCTCTCTGCCCCTCTCACAACAAAGTGCTTTACAAATCGTCTCAGGACAAGGCTCCAGTGCAATGCAACCAGCTCTGGGGCTTAGGAGGGGAATGGAAGTGGAATAATGTATCAGATTGAACCTGCCGGCAGCCCTTGAGCTGGAATTGCACAGGCCCCCAGAGCGAACACGGCAGCCTTGGGAAATGTGCCAGGGGATCTTTAATGATCACAAGTGACAGGACCAGCCAGCAGAAGGGCCCTCCGGCAGCACAGCACCCTAACACCATGCTGGGGCATTGGGTCAGTAGTGACCCTGGGGGAAGAGTGCCCGCTGCTGGCTCGCCAATGCCAGTGGCCATGTCTGGGTGACTACATCACTCACATGCAAATGGCAGGTGGAAGGCCATGGCCAACCCCCTGCCAGGCGGTTTATAAAGGCTCTGAGCAGGATGAGCAGTGGGGTGGGGGAGATGAAAGGGAGCTCCCTGTCCCTGCCCCCTGAGGCCCAGGCCAGGAAATCTCCTGCCAGGGTTGCCATCAGGGGCTTCTGAGGCCAGTACCCAGAACACACTGTGGGGGGAGGTCTCCTTTGGTAAGGGGCTGTGTCCCATCCTGACATCAGTGGGAGTCTGCGAGTACCAGGCCCTCAGGCTGGGGCCTTTTCTTCACCCCTGTCCTGGTGAGCCCTGGCCTGCAGCAGCAAATCCCTGGGGATGGGTCTTCCCCAAACCACCTCCCCCCAGCCTTGCTGGACTGCCCGGCAATGCCCGCCTGCCAGAGCAGGCAGCCCACACACTGCCCCAGAGGCTGCTCACCTGCCTCCTTTTCAGGTTGAGTTGCAGGTGGCTGGGGGGCTGCAGTCCCTGGGTGTCCACGGCTGGGGAAGCTGAATCCACCTGCAGACAGGAAAGTCACAAGGGCTGCGGGGCTGGGCACACAGAGTCGGCTCCAGGAGCGCTGGCAGCTAGAGCCCAGGCTTGCCCCAGCTTTCACAGTGCAGGGCCAGCCCTCAATTCCTTTTGGCCCCACTGCAGCCCTGAGCCATGCCACCCACTGCTGGCCCAGAGCAACGCCCAGCAGTCAGGAGCCACCCATGGGCCCCTTCGCTGCTTGTGCCTGAAGGGGGCACCAGCACGTCGTGCAGTCACAGCCTCTCTGATCAGCACCTTTCTGGCAGGACTCTCTGCGCTGGACTGCTGAACCCTCCCCAGAAACAATGCAGGGATAATTCCCCCCCCACGCACCCTCTCCCATCAGTGGGATGTGGCCATCTAGGGAGCGGGAGCAGGGCTGCCTAGTAGCGGTGGCTCTTTAATGAAGAGTTGAAGCCCTTTGCCCTGGGTGACCCAAGGTGAGTGCTGCCAGTCACAGCTCTGCTCCCCAGCGCTGGGAACGGCTCCCCAACTCCTGCACACAGGCCCCAGAGAATGACATGATTAAGGCTGCGATTTAGTCATCGAGGTCACGGAATCCATGACTTCCAAAGACCTCCGTGACGTCAGCCAGCACCGGCTGGGAGCTGCAGGGCCCCCTCCTGTCTGCAGAGGCAGGGAGCTGCGGGGTACACGGGCTGCGTCAGGCGGCGGGAGCCTTCCGCAGCTCCTGGCCACCACAGGCGGCAGGGAAACCCCCCGCAGCTGCCGACCGCTGCAGACGGCAGGGACCCCTGCAGCTTCTGGCCACCTTGGATGGCAGTGGGAACTCCCGCTGCTCCTGGCCACTCTGGCAGCAGGGGGAACCCCAGAGTTCCTGGCGGCTGCTGGAGACAGGGCGAACCCCCACAGCTTTGGGCCCCCATGGGCATCAGGAGGACCCCCACAGCTCAGAACCGCCGTGAAGGGGGACCCTGGAGCTCCGAGCCCCCAAGGGTATTTTTAGTAAAAGTCAGGGACAGGTCACGGGCAATAATGGAAAATTCACAGAAGCCCGTGACCCTTCCCTGACTTTTACTAAAAATATCCGTGACTAAATCTTAGCTTTAGACATGCTTAATCCTGGGGTGAGGGCCAGCATTGGCATAGAGGGCTTGCTCTGCCCAGTGCACTGTAGGGCTCCTCCTGCTGGCCCAGGCAGGGATGCACAGCGATCCAGAGGCTCGGCTGCCCTCAGGGTCCCTCTCTACTTGTCCCCATCTCACTGTCACCCTGAACAGCGCTGAGTGAGCAGCTCCCACATTGGATCAGTTCCTCACCCAATCTCCTCTCTCTGCCCCTTCCTGCACCCATCCCCAAACTGCTGTCGTTCCTCTTTTCTTCCTGCTGCATTTCCTGCCCTGAAGCAGCTCCTAGTTCCCACCCCTGGGCTCCACTCCCTCCCCTGCCCCACGCCATGCACTGAAATGATCAGCAGTGCCATTGTTTACTGTATTTTCCACTGAATGCATCCGATGAAGTGAGCTGTAGCTCACGAAAGCTCATGCTCAAATAAATGGGTTAGTCTCTAAGGTGCCACAAGTGCTCCTTTTCTTTTTGCGAATACAGACTAACACGGCTGCTACTCTGAAACCCATTGTTTACTGTGCCACTGAAATGTCTCCATTGGCCATTAGAGCTGCCACCCAGAGAGATTACTAAAGGTCGGGGCGTCCCCCCTTCTGAGACTCTGCTTCAGGCTCTCTGCAGACTCAGGCAGCCATCCCTGTGGCAGGCACCATTGGAAGGTTTGCTCAGCAGGCCACAGCAGTGCACAAAGCAGGCTGGCTCTGGCTCTAGCAAACCTGACAGCTTTCGATAGAGACCAGCACACGCATGGCTCTGCTCCACACCTCTGCCAGAGCTATTTAACAGCGGCTGGTCAGTACAATTACAAACTGGATTAGTGCAAAGCTAGGGCTCGCTTGCACATGTTCACACAGCAGCTCAGGTGCGTGGCTGGGAAAGGCCAAGAACCCAGGTCTTTGGACTCCAGACCAGTACCTGCTCCACTGGACCACGTAGCCCCTTGTAGAAATTCTCCCAAAGACCCACTATATTCCCCATGTCCAGCTACACACACACAATAGATTCTCTAGGGCCTGATCACATATTCCTGGCGTGCCCCGAACTTCCAGACTACGGGCCAGGGCTCCTTGCTCCTACCTCATCCAGCCCCATCCTACTGCGCCCCGTCCCGTACCTTGTTCCTGTGTTGGCGATAGGCTGCCTTATCCCATTTCTCCTGCAGGTACCTGCTGGCAGCAGGTAAGATGGGCTGATATGCTCGGGACATGGGGCTGGGCTACCCAGCTATGGGGCTTGGCTATTAGCAAGCGCAGGAGGCAGGGAGAGCAAAGGAAACATAACCCAGCTGACGCTGAGGTTCAGGTGACCCAGCGACTGACTGTCCCCCTGGGTCCTAACCTCCCTCCATGGCTGATCGAGGCAGGCCCCAACCACAGGGTTCTCCGGTGATGGTCCGGGTTCGCCTGAGCCCCAGGCTCTGCCTGGTTCCAAGCCAGGGCGCCGTGTGCAGGCACCCCACATGAGGCTCAGGTTCCCCTAGGGATTTGCCAGCCTGTCTGGAAGGCTGTTGAAAATCTGGTCCTAGCAGCAGAGCAGGAGGGTCTTGTCAGAGACTCCTGGGGCTGGCCGTGGGCTCTGGGTTCCACAGGCAGACAGCACCCCCTCTGCCCACAGGGCCCTGCCCTCTGAAGCCAGACATGGCTGGAGAGACGCAGGCCTGAGCTGAACCCCCCTGCCTGGCTCCTGCTCCCACCTGTGACACACAGGGCTCGGGCAGCTGCTGGTGGCCTCCTTTGGCATTATGAGCCCTGTTCCTGGCTGCCAGCTGGCGCCCTGTTCTGCCAAAGCTAGTGAGTGTGTACAGACAGCTGGGCACGTAGCACCTGAGATGCTTGGCATGGCCCCCCTCCCCCTACATGAGCCATGCCCCCCGGCACCCCCAGGAGCCTGAGACTAGTTATGTGACAGAGGGGGAAACTGAGGCATGAGGCAGCACCGTGAATTGCTTGTACACTCACATAGTGAGTCAGTGGCATAACCAGAAAAAGAACGAGGAGGTCTCCCAGGCCCCTGATCTAACCACTAGATCACCCTCTTGCCCATAGCTGGGATGAGGACCCAGGCGTTCTGCCACCCAGCCCCCACTCTAACCACTGGATTCGCTGTCACACAGATACCTGTAATTCAAGTGCACCTTTTGTGGCAGCTGATTTTTGTTTCTCTAAGATCTTCACAAAGCTAACCAGACACTGGGAAAGCAGGCCCTGACACAGGGGCTTGACTGGGCACCATTACTGGGGTCGCCAGCAGGAGGCGCAGAAAAGCCATTGGGAACTAGAGATGGGCTCAAAGCAAATGCTGCAGAATTGGGGGGAGCTCCGCTCGGGGCAGGGCCAGTCCCTCTCGAACCACGACAGCCCTGCATCTGTCACAGCTGATTCCCAGTAAGAAGCACTTCCATGCTGAGGCCACCTGTCTTCCTGTGGTTCCTCTTGGGAGCCGGAGCAAGCTGCCTCCTGCTGATCACGTGTCCATTGCCATGGCCGCCTGCGGCTCCTATTTCCCCTCTATTCACTTTCCCGCAGTGCACTTTATAAATTATTCTCCTTCCTTCTGCTGGAAACGTGCTGCAGCCTTAAGAGGAAAGTTTCCTATTAAACCTTCTGCAGATAAACCCCATGGGGACGAAGCCACAATGGAGCATTGGTGACTAATGCAGGCCATGCATTGTGAGACTGCTAACAGCTTCATCAGGGTTTTAGAGTAGCAGCCGTGTTAGTCTGTATCCGCAAAAAGAAAAGGTGGACTTGTGGTACCTTAGAGCCTAAAAAATTTATTTGAGCATAAGCTTTCGTGAGCTACAGCTCACTTCATCGGATGCATGCAGTGGAAAATACAGTAGGAAGATATAGATATACACACAGAGAACATGAAAAAATGGGTGTTGCCATACCCACTATAACAAGAATGATCAGTTAAGGTGAGCTATTATCAGCAGGAGAAAAAAAAACCTTTTGTAGTGATAATCAGGATGGCCCATTTCCAACAGTTGACAAGAAGGTGTGAGCAACAGTAGGAGGGGAAATAAACAAGGGGAAATAGTTTTACTTTGTGTAATGACCCATCCACTCCCAGTCTTTATTCAAGCCTAAGTTAATGGTGTTCATTTTGCAAATTAATTCCAATTCAGCAGTTTCTCGTTGGGGTCTGTTTTTGAAGTTTTTTTGTTGTAGTATTGCCACTTTTAAGTCTGTAATCGAGTGTCCAGTGAGGTTGAAGTGTTCTCCGACTGGTTTTTGAATGTTATCATTCTTGACGTCTGATTTGTGTCCATTTATTCTTTTACATAGAGACTGTCTGGTTCCCCATGCTTATTCCCCCCCCCTTCCCCCCCACTGTTACTCACACCTTCTTGTCAACTGTTGGAAATGGGCCATCCTCATTATCACTACAAAAGGTTTTTTTTCTCCTGCTGATAAAAGCCCACCTTACCTGATCACTCTCGTTATAGTGGGTATGGCACCACCCATTTTTTTCATGTTCTCTGTGTATATCTATATCTTCCTACTGTATTTTCCATTCCATGCATCCGATGAAGTGGGTTTTAGCCCACAAAAGCTTATGCTCAAATAAATTTGTTAGTCTCTAAGGTGCCACAAGTACTCCTCGTTCTTTAGACAAGTTAGATGCCTTCAAGGCACCAGGCACTGATGAAATGCATCCTAGAATACTTAAGGAGCTGACTGAGGAGATAGCTGAACCATTAGTGATTATCTTCAAAAAGTCATGGAAGATGGGAGAGACTTCAGAGGACTGGAAAAGGGCAAATATACTGCCCATCTATAAAAAGGGGGAAAAGGACAACCTGGGGAATTACAGATCAGTCAGCTTAACTTCTGTACCCAGAAAGATAATGGAGCAAATAATGAAGCAATCAATTTGCAGACACCTAGAAGATAATAAGTGATAAGTAAGTCTGACAAAAGAGGTGCTGTAGTCATCATGAATAGGTCAGAATATGAATGAGAGGCTGCTAGACAACTCTCTGACACCACATTCTACAGGCCGTTACCCTCTGACCTCACAGAGTAGTAACAAAAGAAACTACACCTTTTGCTCAAGAAACTCCCTAAAGAAGCACAGGAACAAATCTACACTGACACACCCCTAGAGCCCTGACCAGAGGTATTCTATCTGCTACCCAAAATCCATAAACCTGGGAATCCTGGATGCCCCATCATCTCAGGCATTGGCACCCTTACAACAGGATTATCTGGCTATGTAGACTCTCTCCCAGGCCCTACGCTACAAGCACTCCCAGCTATCTTCGAGACACCACTGACTTCCTGAGGAAACTACAATCCTTTGATGATCTTCCAGAAAACACCATCCAAGCCACTATGGATATAGAAGCTCTCTACATGAACATTCCATACAAAGATGGACTACAAGCCATCAGGAATAGCATCTCTGATACCATCACGGCAAACCTGGTGGCTGAACTTTGTGACCTTGTCCTCACCTACAACTATTTCAGATTTGGGGACAATTTATACCTTCAAGTCAGTGGGACTGCTATGGGTACCTGCATGGCCCAACAGTATGCCAACGTTTTTATGGCTGACTTAGAACAACGCTTCCTCAACTCTCGTCCCCTAGTACTCCTACTCTACTTGTGCTACATTGATGACATCTTCATCATCTGGACCCATGGGAAGGAGGCCCTTGAGGAATTCCACCAGGATTTCAACAATTTCCATCCCACCATCAACCTCAGCCTGGACCAGTCCACACAAGAGGTCCACTTCCTACACACTACAGTGTTAATAATATGGTCACATAAACACCACCTGTCATAAATATAAAGGGAAGGGTAACCCCTTTGAAATCCCTCCTGGCCAGGGGAAAGCTCCTCTCACCTGTAAAGGGTTAAGAAGCTAAAGGTAACCTCGCTGGCACCTGACCAAAATGACCAATGAGGAGACAAGATACTTTCAAAAGCTGGGAGGAGGGAGACAAACAAAGGGTTTGTGTCTGTCTGTGTGCTGCTCTTGCCAGAGACAGAACAGGAATGGAGTCTTAGAACTTTTAGTAAGTAATCTAGCTAGGTATGTGTTAGATTATGATTTCTTTAAATGGCTGAGAAAAGCATTGTGCTGAATAGAATAACTATTTCTGTCTGTGTGTCTTTTTTGTAACTTAAGGTTTTGCCTAGAGGGGTTCTCTATGTTTTGAATCTAATTACCCTGTAAGATATCTACCATCCTGATTTTACAGGGGGGATTTCTTTATTTCTATTTACTTCTATTTTTTATTAAAAGTCTTCTTGTAAAAACTGAATGCTTTTTCATTGTTCTCAGATCCAAGGGTTTGGGTCTGTGGTCACCTATGCAAATTGGTGAGGCTTTTTATCCAACATTTCCCAGGAAAGGGGGGGTGCAAGTGTTGGGAGGATTGTTCATTGTTCTTAAGATCCAAGGGTCTGGGTCTGTAGTCACCTAGGCAACTTGGTGAGGCTTTTTACCAAACCTTGTCCAGGAAGTGGGGTGCAAGGTTTTGGGAAGTATTTTGGGGGGACAGACGCGTCCAAACAGCTCTTCCCCAGTAACCAGTAATTGTTTGGTGGTGGTAGCGGCCATTCCAAGGATAACGGGTGTAATATTTTGTACCTTGGGGAAGTTTTGACCTAAGCTGGTAAAGATAAGCTTAGGAGGTTTTTCATGCAGGTCCCCACATCTGTACCCTAGAGTTCAGAGTGGGGGAGGAACCTTGACATGGTGGCACAGTGGTGGGATTAACCTGAAATCATTTGAGATCCAGTTGAGATTTTTTGAACTAGAAATACAGAGTTTAAAAAGGAAATTTTTTTTTCTTTGGAAAGAAAGTCCAGAAAGCAGCTTTGAAACTTTGGCCAAGCAGAGACAAAAGGGGATTATCTTGTGAATTGCAGGTTTTTTTGCCTGGAGGCAGGGTACTTAACTCCTGCAGGGAAATTCACAGTCTTCCAACCCATTGTTTTGTTTTTTTTTTCTTTTCTTCCTAAAAGTAAATAGGGGGTGTGTGTTCTACCCATTTGCTTTTTCTTTGGGCTGGGTAAGCAGGTTTCCAAGCAGTTGGAGGTTTTTTGCTTTAATTTGGGCCCAGAGCAGAGACAAGGGAATTGTCTTTTTCTGTAGGCTGACAATCACTATCAGAGAATAGGTATTCTATTGCAGCACAGCAAAATTTTACAGCCAAGTTTTGTTTGTTTATTTCTAAACCTCGGGTGTAAAGTTAGTTAAAAACAGAGAGGTTAGAATGACCAAATCCTC